TATATATATATATATATATATATATATATATATATATATTAAGCCTACATATATTTTTTATTATTAGATTCAAAATGAACTATAAGATAAAAAAATCAAATAAAAAATAACTTGTGAGATATAAAAATCGATTCCAACGTTAAATATTAGAATTCAAACATTAAATTTTTGTTAGTTCTTTTAACAATTATAAAAAGAAACTTAATTAAAAAAAAATAAATTATTAAAACAAAACATATTATAAATATGATTAGAGCATAAATTAGGTAAATTTAATTTGACTTTCCTACCGATATTATAAGTGAGTTAGTAAGAGAGAGAATTGTACACATTGTAGAATAGAAAATGATCTTTTATTTTATTAAAATTTATATATCATCAAAAATTTATCTTGATCTAGCACGAATCTCAAGGCAATTTCAAATTGAAAACTTATGAAATTAAATTCGGAACTATTAGAATTCTGAGTTTAGCAAACTTAAAGTTGAATTGAACATCTCAACGAGACAAACCCAACAACATCAAATTTGATCCAATCCAAGCCCAAATGAGTACAAATCGATGGCCCGAAGCACATTTAAAGGGTTTAAAGTATAAATTAGATGATCAAATAATATTCAAATGTGATATGATTATAGTTGAATCGAGCGGCTCAACAAGATAAATCCAATGAGCCCATGATCGTTGAATTCTTACATCATTAAGACACTCAATTGTTCAATAAACAATCTATGATCGAGAGAATTGATATCGGTCGTCCATCAAAACATTCCGAACATGTCTTGATATTCTTCATATTTACTAGTCACGTCATTCCTAAAAGATCGTAAATAGACCCCTCATTTTTTATTGAAGGGGAGAGCACGCAAGAGAAAGAAGAGAAGCGAAGATGAGAAATACATGAGCGCTCTTGCCACTAGATTCATCAACCATCTCTCGGCCATTGACCGTGGCTGAACTTCAGCTCAGCCACCAACCGTCCCTGGATCACCATCCGCTACTATTCGTCATCGGACATTCGCCCGGCCACCGACCGTTGCCAAACACCATCCAGGCCACCGATCATCTTTAGACTTCTACCAGACAACCATTGGACTTCTATTCTTTCACTGTCAGACTTCTACCCGACTGTCATCATTATAAACTCACACAAAGTACAACCCACTTCTTGGACTATTATAAAATTGACGGTCCTCAAGTTTATGAACAGGTCAATTTTTGTAACATATTCAAATAATAGTGGAATCGTTTCAACTGGCATGGCCCAATGATTTTTTCCCTTTTCAGGGGCTTACATGTAAAAATCCCAATGTTTCTAAATTCTCTATTTGGATGTTGGATATCCATACAACGCTATGACGAAAGACTTTCTTACTGTGCTGGTTTTTCTTATATAATTTTTTTTTAAGAACGAGCTTTCCCACTCTTCTCAAATAAGGACGACTACCTTGATCAACTAAGGCTTTGTTTGGAACGACTTTCTTCTTGCTTTCTAAAACAAATTTTTAGTACAAAAAATTCTTGAATTTGAAAATTTTTAACTAAAAAACAGTCTTAAAAAGCAGCACAAAAGTTGTCCGAAACAAAGCCTAAGACTCAAGAATCCTCCAGGTTCTTTGGTGATTGTGCCATAAGGCCAAAGATGAAGAAATACATCCCTATAGAGATAATGCAATATGCTAATTTTCACTTACTTGTAAAATCAACATATTAATCGTAGCAAGTGTTTGTTCTCTACCTGAAGAAGTCATTTCAACTATACACGTCATGTCAACTAAGGCTTTGTTTGGGACGACTTTCTTTCTGCTTCTTAAAGCGGCTTTTTAGTATAAAAATTTTAACTTTTTAACTAGAAAGTTGTTTTAAGAAGTAGAAAGAAAGCCGTCAGAAATGAAGCCTAAATCTTATCAGATATAGATGACATTCATTTTTTTCTAGACCTAATGCAATAACCAATTATCATTTTCTTATAACATTTACCTTACTCAAAATTATGTTGTATGCCTCAAATTGCATAATACTACATAAAAATTTAATATGATTATGTCAATAGAGTGCATAATGAGCATATTTACAACATACTACAAATTACATAGTGGAAGCTTGTTTAATACCGAGAGATCATAACTTTTATGATTTTTGATCAAATTAAATTATAAGAATCACTCATGTAGCAAAATTATTGAAATTAGAGGTAGGATAACAATAGCCTACCTGAAGACGAACAATTTTCTTAACTAATATGGCCGACGAAATCAGCTTGAAGACCCCAAGCCTAGCTTTCTCTTGTCTTCTTCCTCCACCGACCAACTGGATGAAAGAAATAAAATGATTTTGATTTTTAATAAGTTTGATAACGGATTTATATATTTTTCAAAATTTTGACCTAGTGTTGCAACGCTAGCTTTCCTAACGACGCATCAATCCCAAATAGAGACCTCGACACCACGACACCAGCTTCCTAACACCAATCTAATATAGAGGGTAGCATCGTAACACCCCTAAAAGTAATAATTTATCCACCCTCCAAAATAATTTAATAATGGTGATAAACTTAATAATAATCTTAACTCACAAAGAACCAATATCTCGTCTAGTGTATCACAATAATTACTCTAAAATAATATCAAGTCAATAAGGATGTGACAAATATCCTATAACTTTATCATTTTGCTCATAAATTGCACCACTAAATAACATTTATGATAAAGTCCTTTGATCAAATGATTTTCTTATAAAATGAAATCATTAAATTAAAGTTATGACCATGGCTCAAATGTTTCTCAATGACTTCCAAAACCCTGAGTAGTGACTCATATAGTACAATTGATAAAGCATAAAAGATATTGTTAGCTAACATCGTCTTAATTTTATCTACTTACATAAACATGCACGTCATATCTACAAGGTTCCATTGGACGACACAACACTTGACTGTTAATAAATGTTTTAATCAATTAACTCAATTACATTTTTATATAGACTATGCGATCTTGATCAGATTCATTATCATTCTACCAGCATCCACTTTAACCAAATGATCGTAAAAATCTAAATCCTAAATCAAAATTATTGATAATATATGTTAAGCTCTAGGCATCTAATGAGTGGCTTTAATCGAAACCCTAGCTAGTCAACAGGAGAGAGAATTAAATATAAAGGCTTGCACCAATACAAAACCTGCAACAACATCTTCGATTCCTCACAAAATGAGGACAAAATCTCCAAACAATATTTTACCTTCATTCTAATATGTCTTCTAAAAATTTCACTTTGAACTATAAAACTCTGAAGCACAAATTTTCGAAGTCATAAGCCCATGAAGTTAATCTCCAAGCACCCTTGCCAGTTGATCTACTTGGGCACCTCCATCCTCTCACATTTCCCTTACGAATCCTCCCTGTCCTCTTCTTCCTCCATCAGATTGCCCTATCGAAGCCCTATCCGACCTCTTATCCACACCAATGTCCCTGAATCCCCACTGTGTTCTACAACCCACCATGTTCCTTGATCAGATGATCACATATTTCTATGACATTAGCGGCTATCCTTATCCTCCGAAACTCAAGATGAATCTTTATATCAACTGATCAGATAAAGCTCAGGTCACCTCTAAACATGTTCCCCTGTTGATTCCTCTTCGCGAGTCGGTTCGGCTCACTTACACCTCTAAGCTAAGCTACAATGAAAAACACTCTAGTTCAGTAGGACGCATGAAGTAATTAAGCACTCAATTGTTCAATCACTTGCTTAGATACCTCAATCTACAACAACCTATGCAATGAATGCAGCAACAACAACAACAACAACATTAAGCCTTTGTCGTCCCACCACGTGGGGTCGGCTACATGAATCCTTTTTCTCCATTGTGTCATGTTAAAAGTCAAATTCTCATTTAAATGTAATAAAGAAGGATCATTTCTAATATTTTCTAACCAAGTCTTTTTAGGTCTATCTCTACATTTCTTAACATAAGTCAAATCTAATACCTCTAATTTGCTAACCGGATCATCGGAAGGCCGTCGTTTTATGTGACCAAACCATCTAAGGCGACTCTCTCTAATTTTATCTTCCACTAGAGCTACTCCAACCTTTTCACGTATATGCTCATTTCGTATCCTATCTCTAAGGGTAAAGCCACTCATCCACCTGAGCATCCTCATCTTTGCAACACTTAACTTAGTATTATGTTTCTCTTTTAATGGCCAACATTCAGCACCATAAAGCATTGCAAGTCTCACCACCATATTATAGAAATTTTCCTTAAGTTCGAGGGGGACTTTTTATCACACAACAAGCCCGATGCATTCCTCCAGTTCAACCATCCAACAACCTATGCAATGAATACAGCCACTAAATTACAGATCAATTATAACTCTAAAATCATAATATAATAATACAGAACATATATTTTACATATATATCGAACATTTATCACTAATTCACTATTTTCATTTTAAAAACTTTATTTAACCTAAGTTTTGATAGTCAATAATTCCACTTAGCCACTCTTCCAACTGTCCATTTAGTAGATCCCAACCACCATTTCCACCCCAATTAATTAAAACAAAAACAATCTGAACATGATTAACAAACAAAAAGCTCCAACAAATCACGTGGATTTTAGTAGTTGTCATTCTCTATATCATTCCTGTAAAACAGCATGTTACCTATGTCCGCTAGCAGATTCCAAGCCCTAGAAAAGGTATACAGGCATTTTATCGAACGGTTTGCAGACTTACAGCCATCCTAATAAACAAATGAGCATTTTGTCGAACAGTATAGCATTTCTGAACAAATAAACAATCAACACTCTACCAAAGATTCCAGACACAAATCCGAAGAATACTGTAAGAACTGTATTTTCTCCTTTCTATAAACTACTTAACAATAATACAATTAATTACGTTGGTGATAGTAAGAACTAATGCACAAGAAAAGAAACTAAGTTTGAATCAGAAAGGGAACTGCTTGCCGACGTAGGTCTGGCCGAAAGACCAGCCATGGGGAGCAACATTGTAAGAGGTAAGAGTTACGCCATCACTGGTACTGAGCTCGAAGGAGAGCGGCTGGCCTCGCAGATCAGCGCCAATGTGCCAGTTCTGCCCCCAATTCCTTCCCATCTGAAGCCAACCTGTCGCCGTTCCCTTAACTTTCACAGCTGTGACGTCTCCGGCCCCAGCCACGTTGCTAATCAGCACAGCCACAAAGAACCTCCGCCCCTGGATCGTGAATCTCACACCTCCTTCCCTAATGCACTTTATCCTACCACCAGTTTCCCAATCAGAAACCCTTTTTTCGCTTCAGATCCGGCGATATCAAGAAGAAAAAGAAGAAGAAGAAGAAGAAGAAGAAGAAGAAGAAGATTACCGGCGGTACTGGATTGGGAGGATTCCTGCTTTCCAGATAGCAATCTTCTCGAAGGCGGCAATGGGCATGACGAAATGGGAATTAGGGGGGTTGCACAGCCCACCGGCGTCGGAGGGGAGGCCGTAATTAGGAGCGCAGAAATTTGTAGCCGTAAGGACGATGGAGGTTCCTGGAATGCAGTACCGGAGCTCCTCCACGCATCGGACCTCGTAGCATCCGCCGCAAGCCAGGCCCTTCTCGAAGAGGGCTGAGCTCAACCCAACCGTAGCCAGGCCGTACCCGCTCCTACCGAGATCGCCGTAGCCGCAGGCTCCTCCTGCAAAAGGGAGATCAGATTAGAAGACAGTGACAGAAGAACAAGGAATAAAGATAGTACGGACCGACGGTGTCTCGTGGATCGGTGGCGGCGTAGTAGGAAGCGCGAGCGGGACGCCACTCGGACAAAACAGTGGAGGAGAGAGTGGAAGAAGAGCGGTGAGCGCCGGCGAGGTGAAGGAAGGTTGATGAGAAGAGAAGTGCCAGTAGGAAACAGCAGAGAGACGACGGCGATTGCGTCGGTGGGGGCAGCGTCATTTTGGGTTTTCAGGTGGGAGTGAAGAAAAGAATAAGCGTTTGGGGAAATAAAGAGTTGACGGAGTGAGGTAGTGCCGCAGTGGTATAATTGAGGATTTTTTGTTTTTATTTGGAAGAGCTATTATGTCTGTTATTCATAAATATACATTCATATAGTTTTATATATTTAATATTTAAGTTATAGCTAAAATAAAATTATATATATATATATATATTCTTTACATCATTTATTTATTAAATAAATTTATTTATAAAAATTACTCAAAGTCAAGTTAATTATAAGCTAAATATTATTGAAAAAAAAATTATTGCCATAGCTCTATTTCATAATAATAATTATTATTATTAATTTAATTCACAATATAAGCAATATTTTCTTCTTTCTAAATCACGTAAAGATGAATGTTACACCTTTAAATGTTATAAGCTAACCAAGGTGAGGATGACCTCAAGTTTTTATACTCTAGGATTCGTATGAGAATGAGTTATAAAAAAACCGCTATAGCTTTAACTATGTCTAATCAGGAAATTTCTGTTTCTGAAGCTATCAAAGAATCTGTTCTTTACTTTCAATCTCTTTTTAATGCTCCTCAACAGCTGGATTTTGACATCAATGCTTTCCCTCCTGGTAATGTGATTGATTTGGATTCCAGATTCACTCTCACTGTTCCTTTCTCTTATTCGGAGATTAAGAAAGTTGTCTTCACGGGGTTCCTCCAATTCCACTCCTGGGCCGGATGGGTTCAATTTTGAATTCTATAAATCTACTTGGGTGCTTATAGGCCCTTATGTTTGCAATGCTATTAAAGGTTTCTTTCATAATGCCTTTATTCCCCGCACTATTAAAGCCACTGCCATCACTCTTATTCCTAAGTCCAGTCATGCTGAGTCCATTGCTGACTTCAGGCCTATTGCTCTTTGCAATACCTCTTACAAAATTATTGCTAAATTATTGGCAGAGAGAATGAAGCCTATCATGTCCAAAATCATCAAAGTAAATCAAGCGGGGTTTATTAAGAATAGAATATCTACGGATAATGTCATTCTTGCTAATGAGATTCTTCAATTTTCAAGAAAATCTTCTAAAATCAGGCTTATGTGTGTTAAGTATGACATTAAGAAGGCCTTTGATAGTGTATCTAGACACTTCCTTCTTGCTAGGATGGAGCAAAAAGGTTTCCCCACCTCCCTTCATTAAGTGGATAAAAGCTTGTATTCTGGACGTCTGGTTTTCTCTGTGTATGGATGGTACCTTGGAAGGATTCTTTCAGTCTTCCTCTGGGCTAAGGCAGGGTTGCCCCTTAGCCCATACCTTTTTTTCAGTATTGTGATGGATGGCCTCTCTTGCTTGCTGGATTGCAATTTGCAAGCTGATTTTTTTGAGGGATTCTCCATTGGGAATTTCAGGTTGACTCGCCTCTTATACGTCGATGACTTGATAATTTTTGGTATAGCTGATATTGCTAACTGTAATAAGCTCTCTAATATTCTAAAGGATTTCTCTAGAGCCACGGGTCTTCATGTTAACTTTGGGAAAAGTTCTGTTATTTTACCCACAAACTGTAATAATGCTGAGGAAATCTGTTCTGCTCTTAACATTCCCACTGCCTCCTCTTCTATGACATATCTGGGCATCCCATTATCCCCCTTCCATTCGAAAATTGGCTGTTTTTCTAAGCTTATGGAAAGTATTATTAATAAGTTGTCTGGGTGGAAAGCCAAAGCTTTATGTCTTGCTGGTAGACTTCAATTCCTAAGATATACTATTTGGAACATGATTGCTTACTGGATCCGTGGTGGTATAATACCTAAAATCATTCTCAAACAAATTGAAAGATTATGTGCTAAATTCCTTTTCTTTGGGGATTTAAATAAGAAAAAAATGCATTTAATTTCTTGGAGGAATACTTGTAAGCCTAAAGAGCTGGGTGGTATTGGGTTACCTTCTTTGCAATCTCTTCAATTTTGTTTTAACTGCTCTCTTATCTTAAGAATATACAATGGGGATAGTCCTCTTAGCAGTTGGCTGTTACACTCTTATTCCTCTCCTTGGAAAGATCCTGTTTCTAAAGCATCTAAGTTCTGGAAGAATATCTGTAGGGATGCTAACTTGGCCAAAGTTAAATTCCATTTTAATATTTCTGTTAACTCTAATGTTTCTCTGTTCTGGGATCATTGGGTTACAGATTTATGTATCAGGGATATTGCTGCTCTTCACCCTCTTTTAACAGCTGTTCCTGTTAATGAGAGGATTAATGTTATTATGGATGGGGATGCTTGGGCTCTGCCTGAGCTCATGCCGCAGGCTGTTCTGGAAATTCTAAGAGATATTCCTATTTTCTCTGCCTCTCGGAATACTATTTACTGGGGTGAAGATAAGATCTGTAGGCATAAGAATTTTAGGGACTTTTATTATATCCAGGAGGCTAAAGTTAACTGGTGGAAATTTGTATGGCATAAGCATTATATTCTTAGATACACCTCTTACTGTTGGATGGCTTTATCTGGTGGTTTAAAAACTGCGGATTCTTTGATTGCTAGGAATATTTATGTGGATCCCATTTGTTCTCTTTCCCGCTGTCAAGCAGAAACTATCAGTCATCTTTTCTTTGAATGTGACTATTTTTTTTCTATTCTCTCCAAGCTGATATCCAATCTTAAATTTTTACTGCTCAGGCCTAATGTGTTACAAATTTTCGAGTATATCAAAGACACACGTGATAAGCACAAAGATTTTTATTATCTTCTTATTTGCTCTTCAATATACTTTATTTGGAGAGAAAGAAATGATAGAAAATTTGGGGGTTCCTCACTTTCTTCTACTTCTTTAACGTTGAAAATCAAAACTGCAGTTTTTTCTAGAATTATGAAATGGAATTCTAGGGATATTTTGATGAATATGTTGTAAGCTCACTTGGTTTGAGTTTGGTGCTGGGGCTGGTGGTTTTTTGGGATGTCCTGTTGTGGTGCGACTGGATGTTGGATTGGCAGTTCTGGATTTATTTTGTTCTTTATCTGGTGGCTGGACCTTGTTTTGCAGTTTGTTGCTTTGCTGCAAGTTTCTGTTTAAGGGGTTTTGGTTATAATGGGCAATGATGATTGGGTTGCCATTTTCCCCTATGGATGGCAGGATTTTTCTTTTTGCAACCAGGATGAGAGAGCGGCAATTCCTGAGCCCGTGGCTTTATTGATCTCGTCTTCCTTTGGTTACCTTTTGCTATGTTTTAAATTTTGTCTTTGTTTATTTTGGTTTATAGGTTTGTTGTGGGGATTTTGTATTTTATCCAATTTTGGGTGTTGTAAGTCTTGTCAAGATCGCTTTTACAGCATTTTTCTTTTTTCATTACATGTAACAAGTTTATATTAATAAAAAGGACTTAGACCATAATTTAAAAAAAAAAAAAAAATGTTATAAGCGCTTTGGGCACCAATCCACGGAGGTTCTTCGTGTGAAGTGACACATCTTTGCCTTTTTTGCTCTTCTGTTGCAGATTTATTATCTGGTGAGATGGACGACGGTGATCGAGTATTGGGAATTATTATTATTTTTAACAATAATTATAAAATATGGGCTTAATTTTTTAATTTGAAGTAAATTTTTTTTCCTACAGCCGACGGACATCTGAGTAGAATTCAAATGGGGTCATTTTGAGCATAAATTTTTTTTAATGTTTATATCTGAGTATAAATTTAGGTTTTACTTATGACAGCCTTTCTAATTGCTTTATTTTCTAAATAGCAATAAAAATTTTATTTAGTTACTTTTTTTTTTTTTTTGGACACAACTTTCCTTGGCCTATTAGTTGAGAGCTTAGGCTTCCAACTAAGAGGTACAGGATTCGAGTCTATGTGTTTGTGTTGTGTCTATGAGTTTGCCTTAAATGGCCTAAATGCCCAAAAAAAAGAACTTTTTTTTTTGGAACAACTAACTTCATAAAATGATAAAATCAACTAGTCCTCACAACTAGGCCTTTAATGTAAATTATATTTAATTATAAAATTTTGGTAAAATTTTTTAAATTATTAGAGCAAAATTATAATTAAAGAATTATTATAATTAAATATATAATATACCGACCAACTAACACAAAATTATATCGACTAATTAATACATCATTCATTTTTCTTATCTAGGATTTGGAATCCAACAATGATTGTTGTTGTTGTTGAGTGTATTTAATCATAATTTTATTCATCCATATACAGAGTCTTGAATTCAAAATTTTGTTAGCATAAGCAAAACTTCCAACCTCTAAGGATTAGTTTGAGATGACTTTTTTATTGCTTTTTAAAACAGAGTTTTAGTACATCCATATACACTGAGCCTTGCTTTTTTATTGAGTTTTAATTTTTATACTAAAACTTCGTTTTAAAAAGCAATAAAAAAAAACAGTCTCAAATGAAGTTTAAGATTTCATTTGGGTCGACTTTCTTACTGCTTCATAAAGCAGCTTTTTAGTATAAAAATCTTTATGCTTCGTTTGACATAGCTTTCTTATTTCTTCTTAAAGCACCTTTTTAGTATACTAAAAAGCTGTTTTAAGAATCAGTAAGAAAGTCGTCCCAAACAAAGCCTAAATTTATGTGAGTTGCATGCTTCTCTCTCTCTCTCTCTCTTAAACACTTAATAAAAAATATTTATTTATTTAAAATCAAACTCAAATAAGAATGCAATTTTGCTGCCTTGAGTTTTAAGCAAACACACAAGTTTCCTAATCTTTGAGGCCTCCTATGGTCCCATAGCGCACATGAGTTTTACACTTTACTCTTCCACTGTGTTACTACCAGGTGCCCATTGAAAAGGCTCAATATGAAGCTAAATGCTAAATGGGCCTATGTTTAAGGTCTGGGCCTCATTCTTGGATCCATTTTCACGTATCATATTATTCCTAACAACATAATTAATCACTGAATAAATATAGCTAGATTATTATATAACAAAATTAAATTATATTCAAATTTATTTCACGATATTCTTATACAAAATGTTCATTTTAAAAATAGAAAAAATTAATTAGATATCAAATTTATTATATATATATATATATATATATATATAATAATAAATGATGACAAATATTTTTTTTTTATTTGGTTCTAGTAAAATGAATGCATTATAAGCTAAACAATGATGATGATGATGGGTGGTGGATTGGCTGGTGAGCTGGGCTTGATAGGGCAGGGACTGAAGGTAAACAGTGGCGGACATAAAAGGTTGTTAGGGACTACGAGCAATGACATGTGATATGATAGCCGATACCGTGAATGAAGATTGGTACTAACAAGTGGTAGTAGCGGGGTTAGGGGTTGACTGACAGAGCCTACAGTGACAATGACAAATAATATATACTAAATTTGGAACTGAATTGAATTTAACGATTTCAAATACATAAAAAATGAAACTAGACAATAAATTTTAAATACTTCAAAATTTTACTCAACATTTTTTTTATTTCAAATTAAACATCAATATTTTTGAAACTCCTAAGTCTAGAATACTTTATACTCATTTCTACTTCAAACCAAACATCTCATATATCATTTAAATATTTAGCACATAAACTTCACCATTTACATTAATAGCAACAAATTTTTTAAATAATGAACAAAAATAGCACCCTTAGTTTAATGTCGTTCTCACGCCATCAGTCCCACGTCATGACTTCTTCGTTGTTCCTATCGCCTTTCACATGTCATAAGTAGATTCGTCCATGACCCCTATTGAGTCATGTACGATCACACAAATCCTTATCCGAATTATAACGGTTCCCACGGATGCTTAGCTTGGTTGATTGGGGTGCTCGATTGTAAACCCCTCATCCCGAGTTCGATCCCTCGAGTGGCAGTCGGTCCTTCAGTGGGGACTCCAAGGCGTCGGCTATGGGTTTGTGGCCTGGGTGGCCCATTAGGTCTGCCGGGGCTTATGGACCGCCAAACGCACTTGACGAAGTCGGATGTGCCAGCGGACGGTTCCTCATATATATATATATAGCTTGGTTGATCATGGAGATATCATAGCCGGCGCTTTGGAGTCCCCACTGAAGGACCGACTGCCACTCGAGGGATCGAACTCGGGATGAGGGGTTTACAACCGAGCACCCCAATCAACCAAGCTAAGCATCCGTGGGAACCGTTATAATTCGGAGAAGGATTTCATATTTTCATTAGAAGTTATCAGAGTCTTATGCTGTATAAATAAAAAAAATTTAGATATCAAATATATAAATTACGTAATTTTCAGGGCTTTGCATGTAAATACCCGTAATTTAAAACGCAAACAGAAATTTGATTAGTATTTTTTTTTTCCTGCAACCCATCGAGACAATGACAAAAACAACCCTCTTCACGGGCGCCGCTCTGTCGCTGCAGCTTTTTTGTTTTACGCATCACCTCCTGACCTCCACCAACTACTTCTCGGCATCCCCCATCCTTCTGTGTCTCCATCTCTTCATTTCTACGGCGAGAAACAAAGCCTCATTATTCGGCCAGCGGCGATGCTTCTGCTGGCGGTTCTATTCTCAGCCCAAATGGTGGCCGCCGCCGGCGAATCGATAAAGGCTGCGGCGGCTGTGGTGCCGCAAGGCAGCACTTCGCAGGTGGAGGATGCGGAGCTATTCCGGCTATACTATGGGCAGAGCTTTAAGGTCATCAAGAACTCTGTTGATGGACAGAGCTATCTCCTCATTCAGGCAATTTTCCCCTTCATCTTCATCATCATCTTCTTCCTTGAAGCCATAGCTGGCTGTTCTGTACCTTTATGTGATGGGATTTTATTTAATTTTTTGTTAGAATAATTCGAGGATGGCGTCGAGGACAAAGTACTGCACTGGACGAATCAAGTCCTTTGTTGTTCCGCTCTTCAATTACTCTGTCGATACCACTTTCTTTCCGGGTATGATGGATCTTGATTGATTTCTCTGTTAAATATTTTTTATCTATGTTCATTTAATTTTATAATTAATTAATTTATTAATGATTATTTTGAATATTAATCTTAATTAAATATAAATGAATTAAGATTAATAAATTTATTAAAATATTTATTAATTAAAATTGTCAATATCTAATAATTTTATTTAGATACATATATTAAATCCTTGATGTTGTTTTTTGTTTTTATTTAAATCTTTTTTAATTATTGATTTTTTATTTTAAATATTTATCTTTGATTCTCAATAAATTTTGATTTTTTTCCAAAAAGTAAATATATTAATTTTTAACTTATCTTTAAGCTCAACTTATCTAATGATGTATTCTTTTGACTTAGAGGCTTTATTTGGGACATCTTTATATTTTTTAAAGTAATTTGTTAAAACTATAAGAAAACTGTTCCAAACGAGGTCTTAATTAAAATTTCAAATTTAAAATAATCACTGTGAAGCATTCGATCTCTGAACAATTTTGATCACATTTAAAATCAATTCAGTGCTATTTGATATAATCTTGATTCTAATAAAATGTAGTTATAAGTTAAATCAATCCAATTTATATTTGATTTGAAGTAAAATAAATATAGTATAAAGTTTTAATGTATTTATAATCCACCCTCTAGTTCAAATTTTGTGTATTTGAAATTCCTTAGATTTGAACGATTTTCAAATACATCATAAATTTATCGTTATTGTTGTTGCCTGCTGCCGGCCATCTCCGGCCGCCGACCATCTCCCACTTTGGAAAACAAAGAATTAATTGAAATCAGATATTTTTGGCTTTGATCGTGCTGGTATTGAAGTTTTGTCAAGCGGCGGCTAGCTTGAATTGAGATAGATCGAGTCAACTTAGTTAAATTTGGCTCAACCAAGATCGAATAGAATGGTACCATTCTAGGCTTCTAGGACTTAATCAAAAGATTGGCAAATGATAGAATATCAGAAGCATCAAACAGCCAAATAATCCTCAACTTAGAACATTTAGGAACATGCAAAAGGAGATACATATGAGAATGTCTCAATAAGAAACAGTTAATCTTATCCATTCCTCAAAGTGAGCCTTAACATAATTTGGTTAAGAATGTTTAAACTTCCAACTTTGTAATTTATAAGAAATCCGATATCTTACTTAATTTAACAGCAATATCCCATAGGCTTTCAGACTCACCCTTGAAGATTCTATCATTTCTCTCCCTTCAGAGATTCCTATTGAAGATATAATTTGAGCTAACAACCCCAATTGTGGCAATTATGATATAAATTGGCCAACTAGATTTGGATCTAAGGGTTTTAAGGTCCTCACTAATGATTATTTGAATCAAATTGTTGGATCTTAGCCAATCGTCAAGATCGATGAGGATGATTGACTTCATAAAGATTTGTGTATAGATCATCACCGATCTCGGTGCGAGCGATTGAACTCTCATTTTTTTGTTAGATTATTCATTATCTTCACTAAGTTATAGTATGATAAAGTGAATTTGAATCAAAGAGTAGAGTCCCATAAAAATTACCCAAATGCTACCATCATTTTAGCACAAAGAACAATTGAACTGTTGATATTTTGAGTGAATTTACAGTTTTTAGCTCCATTATACTGAACAGCATTTTTAGCTATCATTTTGATAATTTATGTCACCAAATGACTATTTTTTTTATTCTCATTTTGACAGTGTCATTCTTTGAGGTGAGGCTTCCTACAATCTACTTAACAATATTGTGTACTGCCCTTAAAGAATGGATTCATTCAGGAGATTTACGGCAAGTAGATTTTTTTTTTTTTTTGGCAAAATGAACCAAGTAGATTAATCACTTGTCATAAGTGTCGGAGTGACCATCTAAGAATTTGTCAAAATAAGAGAAAACTATTAAATCTCATTAATCCTTACCATTTTCAAAATAAGAAACAAACTTCTCATCATGAAAAATTGTCATATTTAAAAAAATACGCTCATCTTTGATGTTCTTTCTGTATCCTTTAGTTAGAATATATATTACACCTTCATTTCTTCTTTCGAGAATGGAATTTTCAGTCTCGCATCCCTTCTATCTGCTCAAGTTGAGTTTTTTTAGCTACTGGGCTTGCTGGATGGCTTAAAAGGAATAACATCAGAGTCAGTCACTTCACAATGTGTTTTGAAGTCATATTCCAATGGAGACATACATCTTATAAACAAAACAGACATGCAACAATTAGCTCAATTTACAGCATATTTCGTAAGTAATATTGGTAAGCAGCAATCATGCAACTTTGCAGCATTTGTACCACTGGAAGAAAGAACTCCTTTGCAGGTAACTGGTGATAAATCTACTTGCCTTTCTATAGCTCAAATTTCTCCTATAAGATTTTTAGGAAATCCAATCTATTGTGAATAATGAATTTCGTCAATATACATTAAAAACAGAAGGCGGAATGGATAAAGTACTTGGCTGCTTTCTCAAATTCAGAGGCGCGAGCTAACTTAGTATATGATGCAGTAAGTTCAATAATATTTTCTTTTTTTCTAGTCTCACTTGACATTGCTATTTTATAACTTCCAGTTTCAATCAGAAATGCATATTAGCTGTTTTATATTCAACTGTTGTGTTCCTTTTAAGAATTTTTTTTTGCATTCTTTAAAATTAAACTTTCTAACAAATGAATAGCAATTCCATTGATGGATTTATTGCAGATTAAAGGGAACTACAATTGCTTAAGCAAAGCAGCAGCAAATCTCACTACTCGTTTCAAACCTGTTGTTGCTTGGGTGGATTATAACCAGGTATTCCAATAGATTCGGCATAGCCAATAGGAGTGAACAAGAGAGATTGAATACAAATTAACAAAGTAAAAATTCGAGCACGAAACAAACAAATTGAAGGCAGTTGGCTGAATGTCTTATTTTCAGGTTTAAGTGTCTCATTTTCAGTTTAAATGTCTTGTTTGTGGGTGAAATGCCTTACTTTGGGTTGTATGAGATAAAAAGTTCAATGCAAGTACAAATAATCAAGTATTAGTATATTAAATTATACAGGAAGAGCATAGTGTTTTCCATTTTAAAGTAACCCAAATATTCCACATTTCGCTATCATAGTGAATGAAGAACAAGTTCACTTTCCTCATGCCACAAAAACTTATAAAGAAGAATTTCTTTATAATTTTCTGAAACTAATCATAAATTGAATCATTTATTTATGCCATGATACCTTAGAAATGATTAATTATTTTCAGGGCATGTGGACCTTTTCCAGAGAAGATTACAAATTGAAGGTGTCACCATTTACATATTTACTTAGCTTTTACATGTAAGAAATCCAAATGAGACTGACTTCGCTTGTGAACAGTATGTCTCTGATGCAGGAGGTGAAAATGTGGATGAAACAATCAGTAACCATAGCTACAATGTTTCAAATCCTGATGACATGGATGACTTTTATGCTCTCCTCTGTGTGAGTTTTTCGAATATATTTTTTGTTATTAGAAGATTTCCTTTTTGTAAGAAAGCAAAATAAGATTTGAAGCTGTGCTAATGATTTTAAACTCAAAATTTGGCTTTTTGTGATCAGATAGTTGATGTGGTGATTGATCAAACTTTTGCACCAGAGCCTGCAGAGTACACTCTTTTGACATTCCTAGATAATTTCTATGTGAGCGATGATGCAAACTTTGACTTCTTGATAAATCAGAGTCTGTGGAGATATGACAAAAGAGTTCAAAACTCTTCTATCCTAGGTATGATTCTACTTTACTAACAACTACAATCATCCAAATATGAGAACTGTCATATAGCTCTCAGATTTCAGTAGCTTACAATAGAAATGCATTTACTACAATTTCTCACATTGATAAGAGGAGAATTTTTGCCTTGGAACTGATGGAAACTAGGCGTACCCAAGTACAATTTTTTTTTAAATCATCTTGCTTATAAATAACAAGGCTTACTTTGGTTTGAAGGAATTGAAATAAGAACAACAACAACATCAAGTTTTTGTCCCATTATGTGGGATCGGCTACATGAATCCTTTTTTGTCATTGTGTCATGTTAAAAGTCAAATTCTCATTTAAATCTAATAAAAAAAAAATCATTTCTAATATTTTCTAACCAAGTCTTTTGGTTAATCTCTATTGCGAATCTTTGGCCTAAGCAAGTTGATATTTTCAAATTCCTAACTCAATTTTATGTGCTAGTTTTAAAATTCATAAGAAGCAACACTTTCATCTTTTCTTTTTAAATTTCTAAGCAAACTCCTCGTAGTTTCACATCAGACTCTCTCTAATCTTATCTTCCACTATAGCTACTCCAACCTTTTCACGTATATGCTCATTTTGTATCCTATCTCTTAGGGTAAAGCCACTCATCCACCTATGCATCCTCATCTCTGCAACACTTAACTTGTATTATGCTTCTCTTTTAATGGCCAACATTTGGCACCATAAAGCATCGCAGGTCCCACCACCATCTTATAGAATTTTTCCTTAAATTTGAGAGGGACTTATCTATCGCACAAAAAGCCTGATGCATTCCTCCACTTCAACCATCTGACTTAAAATTCTACTGATAATATCCCCATCTATCTCACCATCACTCTAAACAATAGATTCAAAATATATAAAACTTGTACTCTTATTAATGACTTGATCACCCGAAGTCACAATCCCCTCACTAGATCTATTGCTACTAAAATAACACGCCATATATTGAAATTCATTTTAACACATTTGTTTAGGAAGCTATCAGCAAAATGTTTAGCAGCTTATACCATTAATGATATTGTTGCTATTATTTTGTTATTGTTTTATGGCTTCAAAGACTGGTATGATGGAGCAATCTCTCAGCCCCAGTTGGTATTAGCAGATCTTATTGAAATGTTCTTTCCCACGGGAAATTACCCTCTGACTTTCTTCAGAAACATTGCTAAGGTTTGTTTCCTCCCCCATAGCTTCCTTTGAGTCAAATAAATCCAAATTGCTAAGGTTTGTTAAATAAATCCCATACTTGTTTCTGCAAGCTCAGCATGAAGGGGTGATAACAATAGGACCTGAAAGCTGCAACAGAAGCACCTCTGTGCCATTGGATCCTGTCATAGTTGAATGCTGATGAAGACACTATTGTAGCTTAATGGACACTTTTTATCTTTTATTTATTTTTTAATCCATATCAATGTTATTCGGAATCCTTCATCATTTCTATTTGATTGTATAACTCAACTCTATTGAAATGAATAAAGGGATATATTTCTGGTAAAATTTGTCAAAGTTAAATAGGATATTTAACTAGCTTTAATTCCTCAAAAAAACTATAAAGAGTCTCATGTTAATTTTGTGGGTGAGAGAAGATTACTCCCGAGTAAAGAAAATATCATCTTATAAAGAATATATAATGGCAGAGTCAATATTTATTTTCAATATCATTAGATAATAAAAATATTGAACAAACAAATATATTAATAATCTAATTTTATTAAAAATAAAATATTAGAGATGATTTAAGTGAATTATTATTAATTTTAATAAAATGATTATGATGGCATTTATTATTAATAATTAAAATTTATTTAAATTAATTTAAATCTTATTATAATTTGAACACAATTAAAAACAAATAAATGATCTTGAACAAAATTAAAACTAGATATATTCGTTCAATCCCTATATCAACTCCACAATAAATAAATAAATAAATTTGAACAAAATCATATTTAGGCTTCGTTTGAGGAGAAATTATTATGTGCGAACGCCGAACTCAGTTTACAATCCGGAGACCCATCAGAATACATCACGTCAGAGATATCAAGGCAGGTACCAAACAGTACCGAGCAGGAGTCAATGTGATACATTCTAAATGGTCTCTGGACATCGTTCAACATCCGCACATAATAATTTTACTTGTTTGAGACAATTTTCTTAGTACTTCTTAAGTCAACTTTCTAGCACGTGTCAAAAAGTACATGTGCACCTTAGCATTATGCTTTATTTGTGTTTTTGGGTCAAAAGGAAGGATCTAATTGTGAGTTTTTAAAATCTATACATTGCTCAGAAAAGAAAGTGGCTGACAAGGAAATCAAAAATGAAAATAAGGCCAAGTCCAAAAAAAAGAAAAAGAAAATAAGGCCAAGTAAACTCGCTGTTGCAAGCTTTAATAGGTTGTTTTGTGAATCACGCGTGCTTACTATGAAGCAATGACAGTTCTAAGGGACCACAATACCTCCTTAGGGAATATCCAACCGAAAATCTCATTTTCACTCTAAAATACAGTGAAACTAAAAAAATATCGTGATTCATATCCAATTGAACTTCATTTTCCTCGTTTATGCGAAGATAACCGCCTTTCTCCTCTTTCGCGTGTTTCTTCGGCAAATCCGGTTGAGACAGAAAAATCGCGAAGGTGAACAAAGCAACGGCAATATTGACGTCCTACTGTTCACCCTCCACTGATTAGTGATTTTTTTGCTGTTCGAATGGAGCAAACCAACTATGCCTTACCGTCGTTTAGAGTTCAATTGGAGATGCCCTTAGCTCAACTCAAGTGCCTTTTTCATCTGGTCATATATAAGAAAGAAAAAAGCAACAAGAAAGTATGCTGCAATTGGACACCGGGCTGACAAAAATGTCATACAAAGGTATCAGGAAAAAATAATACAAACTTTTTTAATCCATTCTTAAGGGCATTTTTGCTACATTTCTGATTATAGTAAGAACAACTCACACTAAGAAACATTAACAAGTTTTGCACGACCAGTGTTCTTGTTTACCTCCACTTTTAATCCAAGCCCTGAAATTTCTGGCGTATTTACAGTATCTTGCAGCTGAAGTTCAACTATACACTGCTGGTTTTCCAAGTTTCCTTCTAGCAAATTCCTTACCGTCAGCAGCCCCCATTCTCTCAAAAAAGGGTTATCATCATCAACAACACATTGTTGCAAAAGCAAAGGAATTGCATTCCTCTTCCTGATCTCATCTTGAACTTCCTTCTTCCCGTGCAGACAATTACCAATGACTGAAACTAAATCCCTCCTAAACCCTCTGTAAGGGCAAACCTTCTTCGCCTCTGTATTTTCCATGGATCTCCTTACAATGGAAGGTGGTTCCAGTTCCTGGAGAAAACCCAAAACAAGTTCCACGAGACCAGCTGATAGTAATGAGTTCACTGGAGCTTCTAAGATTGCCAAAGAAGGATCTTCCCAAGCACAAGCATCCCTCAAAATTATGAGAGAGTAACCAAGCACATCAGTTGTGGGGAACCCCGTTGGAAGAGCAGAGGTTCCTCTTGAAATGAAATCTGTAACATTAGAAGCTTCCTTGAAAACTTTCTGGATGCCAAGGACAAAATTATTGGTCACGCTGATGTCTCCAGGCCTTTCACTAAGGCATTTTGATAAGAGTCCGAGAAGAAATGCTTGGGTGTTAGTAAAAACGGTATATTTCTCATCAGTATAACTATAACCATCCCTGGCAAGGCCCGTCTTTTCAAATAATTGCGAGAAGTATGGCTCCTCGATGCATATTTTAGTAACAAGCCACTCTAGCCACTCTTCCTGATACCCATCTGCGACATACAACACAGTGAAAAACTGAAAAATTATGACACAAACTATGCTAGAAAAGCATAGTTGCAGAAGTAGCTTCTTGCAGATAAAGTAAAGAAGATGAAATTTCTATTCCTAGAGATGTAGGAAGAAAAGCATTCAATTAGATCCTTCAATAAACTCCCTGTCAACAAGACCTAAATGATTAATGTTCAAACCATAATGGTGAAGGTAAAAATACTGAACAACAACAACATCAAGCCTTTATCCCACTATGAGGGGTTGGCTACATGAATTTTTTTTTTTTCCATTGCATCCGGTAATAATCAAATTATCATTTAAATCTACTTAAGAAATGTCATTTATAATATTTTATGACAAAGTCTTTTTAGTTCTACCTTTACCTTTCTTAATATAAGCTAAATCCAATACATCTACTTTCCTAACCGGGACATCAGAAGACCACCAAACCATCGAAAACTACTCTCTATAAAATTATCTTTCACAGGCGATACTCCAACCTTTTCAGGTATATGCACACACAGATCAAAATGACTACTATCTAGTTGATGCATTTTCTTTGCTGATCTTCCAGCCTTATTGTTACATGCGCAAACTAAAGTTTGTTATTCATTATAGGTGTTACTCTCACCATTACTCTAATATTATAATTTCTTACCATATTCATCATAGCAAATTGCACGTCCATATAAATGTTCTCATTTTCTATTATCACACTAGATTAATAACAACTTATTTATTGCTCAATATACTGATCCAGATAATAGAAATTTACCATGCTTAAGTCTCCATATTCTACTGAGACATTTCTATATATAAATCACTTGTAGCTCTAGTAGTTGTCCTCATCTATATCCTATTCACTTGAATAATAGAATTAAGATACTTAAATTTATAATATTTAAATATAGCATGATTACTAATAATATTGACTGGAAATTATCAAGATACTTGACCAAAGTAACATCCAATATACTCAATTTTGTTCTGCTAACCACTAAGCCTTTTTATATTTTGATAATTCCAACATATTTAAACAGGTTAAAATTCAAGAATCATTTGACCTTTAATATTGATTGGTAATTATCAATTAGCAGCCACTGAAATTGCATATCCACTAAAAATTCACCACAATGAGACCCGTGTCAACAAAAGAAAATTTGGCGGTTGATGCAAAGTTTACAGACAAATATAAATCCTATTCCATAGTCCATGACATATCTCACCTGAAAAATTGAAATAAAAAGCTACTATAGCATGGAAGGAATTGAATTTTGAAGGCCTTTTTTGGGGCTTTGAAGTTCTTTTACATCATAATGAAGGAACTCCCATTACAAAAAAAAAAAGGAACACAGAAGGAGAGTGAGTGGCAGGAGGCAGTGCTAGAAATGATAATTTGGTTAAAGGAGGGTCTGCCGGAGATGGCCAAGTAGCAAGAATGGGCTTAATACGTAGGCTTGTATATACAAATTTCAAGTTGTATACAGTCACGAGCAAACATGCAAGTTTCAGGTACAAATGAATTTCTCAGATATAAACCAACACCTTAAGCTGCAAATTAATCATGTATAATTTTAAGTCCAGTTAATTTAAATTTGCCGCCAAGAAAAGGCAACGAATCCCCATACACATGGAAAACTGAAGAAACAGACAAGCAAACGATTAAAATTAAGGCTTCAGGCCTAAGAAACATACCAGTCAAAGCTGTCATGATGATCTCCAGCATAATAGGCATTCCCTTCTCATCATCGCAAAGCTCTTCAAGCCTTCGACGCCCACCCCCTGATGAGCAGCAGGTGTCTAACACCATACACAGAGCATCGCAAACCCTTGGCTCCCTAAACTCTGCAAGTTCCAAGAATCGTGACGGAAAGTTGGCTGCCCACACGGCCGCACGGTGTTCCTCCCCTGCTAAGGCGACATTCCCTAGAAGCTGCAGCCCAACCCGACGGATCTCTGCCGTTGCAAGGGGCGAGCCGAGGACGGCCTCCATCACAGCAGAGCCACCGTTGTTGAGGAAGGCATTCTGGTTGGCAGCCTGGCCAGCGCAGAGGTTTCTAAGAATTCTAAGAATTAGTAGGACATCAGGAAGGGTCGTTGGCAGGCGGAGAAGAAGAGCACCTATGGTTCCGGTGGTGGTGAGTTGGGCACAGTCCTCTGGTTTTTTGGATGCTTCGAGGAGCTTTTCTAGGGTTTCTTCACTTTCTGCTTTTGCTTCCATGCTGTGGGAAACGAGCAGAGTAATGCGATAAGAGAAATTTTTAAGGGGCTGTTTGGTACCAGGATTTATGCAGAATTTGAGAAGGAAAAATCCTGCCAAACGGGATTTGAGCGCCCCGTAAATCTCATGGCGGAAGAAATCCTCCGTTTCCCTCTTTTTGCCGTAAATCCTGGATTTACTAAATCCTCTAGTTCGGCGGATTTACGGAATTTGGTCGAAGAAGCGCGCGAAAGGGAGAGAGTTACCTTAACAGCCAGCGAGCTCCCGTTGTTGCTTCCGATTAAACTTTCGTAACTTCCGATCCGACAGGAAGGGAAATTCGTTAAAGGAGCGAAGTCGAACAGCAACGAAGGAGCCGAAGAAGCGACTCGTGCAATCTCTACACCTGCGAAGCAACGAAGCCGAACATCAAAAGAGAAAGATGAAAGGCAAACCCTAAATTGATTAACTTAATTAATTAAATAATTAATAATATAATTAGTGTATAAATTAATTTTATTAATTTTAAAATCCTCGGACCTTCGTCGCCTATCGACTATGATCCCTCCAACCAGCATTGCCCATCGACAATGATCCCTTAATCACCGCCACCCGCCAACTACGGCCCCTTCGACCTTTATCGCTCGCTGAACTTGGTCTCTCGACTCCAACCCCCATCGCCCGTTGACTATGGACCCTTCAACCACCGTCGTCTGATGGTCATTCCGACCTTCTTCGTGCATCAACCACGGTCCCTCACTTTGCCTTTTTCTCTTTCACCCTTTTTCAAACAATGAAGTGTGATGGAATAAAATTATTAATATATGATAGTTTCAAAATAATAATTATTTGTTTATAAAAAAATATTTATATTATTCACAACAACTTTATAAAAAATTAGTTTCTCATACTAACTTCATAACAAACTTTGCAAAATCCTCCAATCATCCCAAATAAACCATAAAGTTATTTTTAAAATATGAGTAAAACCAAAGAACAAAAAGGTTCGATACTTCTCCACTAAGGATATTTATGGCATAAACCCTAATCCCTAAGGTTAGCCATATGGCATATGCTATTTCATGATGAGCTTATCCCATCGCTCCAATGAAGCAGCTATGTCCATCGGCACTATAAAGAAGATGAAAATATTGCAGTATAAGAGAAAAACCTGTGACTGTGAGAGAGCGGACTTTGCTAAGCAAGTCAGTTCCAGGGCGCCTCTACCTTGGCAGAGTTGAAAGGTAGCTGATTTTTCAGTGCAGTTTATTCAGAAGTGGCTTTGATTTCCTCTCAATGGTCTGCCAAAGGAGAGTTGCCCTGCGACTGACTCGCCTTTTGCTTAGTGAGGGTTTGGGTCTTCATCAAAATTCTGCAAAGACGAAAAAAAGAAAAAAAATTGTAAGTGGAAAAATATTTTGCTTTCTCTTTCATTATTTCTGCCAGTTTTTTTTTTTTTTTTTTCACTAAGGGGCTGTTTGTGGTAGCACTCAAGATTTGATTTAAGTTGAATTTCATAAATCCGCTAAATCAGGATTTCGAAAATTCTGATGGGCATAAATCCTGAAAATTGTTTAGTAACATTCATGATAAATCCTAATAAATCCCGTGTGACTGTTTGGCTACAGAATAGATTTAACGAGCAGATTCTTCCTCTAGAGCCAATGGATTTCGTAAATTCGGCAAAAAAACAGGATTTAGGAAATCTGGGATTTAGCACGAAAAGGCGGAATTTTTCTTCTATGGCGGCTTTCATTTGCCGTGAGAGTTGGTTTTGCATTTTAGGCCGTTTGGCTGGATTTCGCTCAAATCTGCCTCAAATCCGGCCTACATCTTGCTACTAAACATCCCCTAAAACTGGTTTATGGGGTCTGTCATCTGTGATTATATGCATGTACATGGTTCATCCTGGTGGTACTCAATAGTTATTTTTTTAATGGTGCGCAAATTTTTATAAAAATAGTTATAAAATTGTTATGCAGAAAATAATAAAATTACTCTCATTGTCGAAAAAGAAAATATTCACAAATTTCTGAAAAATAATAAAAAAATAATATTCAAACAAAATTGTGATTGCTATCTGAAAAAGCAAAGCAATGCAAAAGCATTCCGCACAACAAGATTATTTGAATATAATTTTATCCGAATAAGCATGATATTTAAACACAAATAACCAAATATATTGCACCAAACAATCTCTAAATTGCATCCAATATACTAAAACATTAATCAAAGGTCAACATATTCCAACAACATATTTTGTTATTTATCGTTCATAATAATTAAAAAGAATTCCAAGCGTACGTTAATTCACACGTTAATGATAAGCATCACTCAAAATCAAAGTTACTCTAATCAAGGAAACAAAAAAGAAAAAACACTGCACTGTCACCTGGCAGTGCCACCTGGCGCCACTTGCGTAACCCATTAACAAGTAACAACGTTACTTTATTTTGTCTTTTTTACATTTTTTTCCCCCAGTTGTTAGCACCTCAAAAAAACAATAGTCATGTCATCAAAATTTTCCTTATTTATATATCTAATACTCTATCTAAAAAAAGAAAAATTATTACATGCAGAGTCCAGAGGCCAATTTGTGTTTTCGTCCAGACGGATCGTCCCGACTGCTCCAGGTTCGTACAGACGAAAATGGCAGATTTCTTCACAAATTTCTTCAGTTCGTCCAGTACTAAATCCAGTTCGTACAGACGAACTGCACTAAAAAAAAAATCAGCTTCTTGAAGGGTTTTACACAATTTGCTATCTCGGAGGAGTCTGCAGACCAGTGGTTTGCGACCAGTGGTTGTCATAATAAGGTATGGTAGACACAACCATTATTATTCTGTGCGGACACCGGACACAGCTTACCGTTCAAAGACGAATCAGGTGCAGCCATGTCATCCAGTACCGAGCTCGATGCCGAGCAGTACTCAGCTCGATATCAAGCAATACCGAGCTTAGAATCAAGCAGTACCGAGCCGTGGTACCGAGTAGAGGGTGACGTGACACATTTTCATTGGGCTCTGGATAGCGTTCGGCGTCCGCACAGAATAATTCATCCCTTATGTGACCCGGAGTAAGAGAAAGCAATCCAAGGTGAGATTGCAACGAGCCATCCTAACTTTTCTAACTTCATCCAATATGACGGTAGGTTTGCTAGGAGTAGAAATCAATCAGAATCAATGGCTAGCAGAGATAACAAGGTACAAAAAAAAGTTATGGGCTAGGTCAGTTATGCATGTAAGGGCTTATTTGCACAAAATGTTTATGAATTTTCTAAATCTGTAGAATTGTATATGAAGGCCTATCTCAAGCAATTGAATATATTGTAACACCTTGTGAACCAGGCATGATTTTAAATCCATGTTGAAAATCTTTAAGTTTTGTTAAAATGCATCAATCCTAACAATTTACCCATTTTCTTATAACATCATAAGTTCTTCTTTTTTTATGTTTCATTGGCAATTGCCGTTAAATTCCTGTTAAAGGAAAACCAATGACTATATTTGGACAAAATAAATTAAGATGCATCTCAGAAATATTATCCAATGGACGGTTGAGATCTTATATTCTTATGCAATCGCAATCACGATTTACTGTGCAAAGAATCCTCTTCCAACCATTCATCTCATTTGAACAGTAGGGATTGAATTATCTAACCCTTATCTAAAATCAATACAGTTTCAGTAGACTTAGGCTTCGTTTGGGATGACTTTCTTACTGCTTCTTAAAGCAGCTTCTTAATTTAAAAATTAAATTTTTGTACTAGAAAATTGTTTTAAGAAGCAGTAAGAAAGACGTCCCAAACAAAGCCCCTTAATCCCAGCAGTCCAGAATAAATAGTCAGTCGGTACTGCCCCCTAAGTCTAAGCACTGCAGTTAACATGCTCATTAAAGACAATCAACACCCTAGCAAGAGGGGATAGAAAATAAATGAAGAACTTTTTTAATTAAAAGCATATGTTGAAAACAAGGGAAAAGTGATGTTCCAAATTTTTTTTTTTTTTTTTTTGGGAAAATAGATGTTCCAAATTCAAATCAAGAAGCCAAACTGAACTAAAACATAGAATAACATAACTTTTTAACTAACAAATGGCTTATATCTGATTATTTGCATCTATTTTTAAAGAAAAAGAATAACCATTTTGTTTTCCAGTTGCTTAGCAGCCATTAACTTAACTTGGAAGCTCAGTATTTATCATTCTTTCTTGAAGCAACATATCTCGTCACTGAAAGTAATAAGCACTTACTCGCATGCAGAGTCCATCAGAGCTGTATCATGCAAAAGCTACATCCGAGCGCAATACATATTTGATACCCTTCGTCACAATACGAGCTTCATGCAACATGCACTTTGCTCCGTGAAGATGAAGAAGAGCCATTCCCTCAAGTGGAGTAACCTGGGAAAGAGTTAACCAAGCCAGAACAAAGTTTAATTAAATAAAAATCTGGAGTTGAACTATATTTATGTATCTGGAAACGTTCTTATAATAAAATAATACCTCAGCGACAACCCCAAGTTTTTTATCATAAAAGACAGTCTCTCCACCGGCCAGGGGTTGCATGGAAGAGTCATTATTGCCAGGGTTGGTCTTCCCTTTTGGACTTATGCTGCCGCTAAGATAAACTAGTAGAGTGTAGTATGTTCGAGCACCTTGTTCAAGGTCTACACTCTCGTCAATGTGCCGTCCAAACTTCTGGCCGACTTTATATCTAAAAAGAACGAAACGGTGTCAATATCCATTAAAAAATTATGAAAAAAGTTCCAAATATAAACTAAGGCTTCATTTGGGACAGCTTTCTTATTTCTTCTTAAAGTAGCTTTCTATTAGAATTTTTCTATTAGAAAGCTGCTTTAAGAAATAGTAAGAAAGCCGTCCCAAACGAAGCCTAAGACTTGGAATGCCACTAGTTTTAATAAGTAATTATATATCATTCTGCTGTATTGGTAGCTTTATGAAGTCATGAATACAGAATTAAGTTCCCAAGTGTAAGGCTTTAACATATGATAAAAATACCTAATGAGTTATTTATTCAAATTTAACTGAGGTGAATAGTTAAGAGTTTACAGCAAAGAGGAAAGATACATTTAGTTCACATTCACAAGCATGAAAAGTATAGGGGGTAAATTATGGATTCGTGTTTTAACATCAGATCTTTTTCCCTAAATTAGACTTAAAATGAAAACTGCCACAAGATCAAAGGATAGAATAAGCAAAAATTTATATATATCCATCACCTGTAGAATCTAATATTTGGATTTAGACCAACAGCTGCTTTCCCATTAGGTTTGATGTCATCAAATGCTTCTTTCAAGCCAGACTCCCATAGACTTTCCGCAAGAAACGGGTCAATAACAGATATGCGATCATTGTCTCTGTAAGCTTCACCTTTGGTTGGACCCAGGCTCCCTTGGTGGGTGAAACCGAAAGACTCTGCAACTTCAATAAATGCCTTTGCTTCATAAGCTGTGAGGAAGTTTGATATCTGAAAATCACAAACGAAATTGCAGGATGAGTCCTATAGGCAAGGATCATACAAGGTACCTATGTAAAGGATGTTAAGAAAGAGTGTTTTTCAATATAAAGGCAGCTACAATAAATCACAAAGTAAATGCAAAAAAGATAAGATATCACAAAGAGAAATAAAAATTTAATAATTTAGTTTAAATCTATTATAACGGCTACATAGAGATCAAATAATCCACTAAACTTCAAATGAGATTGATAGGAAACACTTGTAGATCTCAAGTATTTCCTGTCAATCTTCGGGAAACAGCGAGAATTCTACCCAAAAATCCGCACAAAACCACGAAAACAATAAAATAATTTGTATTATTTGATGAAAGGAAAACGAAAAATAGCAAGATACAATTGATCCTCTATTCGAGAGGAGGATCGATCTCTCTCAAATCTCTAGACGCCGCTAGAGCCCAAAAGAAAACCTAAATCTATGAAATCTCAAATTTCAGCCAAATTCAAGATGCCCTAACCCTAGGAAATCAAACTATTTAATGCATACAAATCAAAAGAAAATCTCTAAACAATCCCTACATTCAAATTTCCCTCCCAAATCCCTCAAAATTCTTTCCCAAAAAGTTCCTTGAAACTTGGCGGCTTGATCGGCGTATGCGGGAGGCGGAGAAGTTCCGCCTCAATCCTGTCTGGGCCGGAACTGTGTGGACTGGCTGGTCTGATCCAATGGATCGGTTTAATAATACTACCCTTCCAAAGACCACCTTGTTCATAAGGTGGAAAGACGACACCCTCCTCTATTCCTTCTTCATCACAAACAGTAAGAACCTCTTTGTACAACATCTTTCATCAGTGATGGAGGTTAAATAAGGCTTTGCAATACCCCAGTCTATTAGCGACAAAATGTCAAACTTTGTCATATTACTATGATGCTCCTTAATATTGAATTTTTGATAATCTTGCAATATCAATCTTACCTTTGAAAGCTCCCATTTGACAGAAACTTAAATTTGCATTGCTCTTCCAAAATCGTAAGTAATAGATTTCATAATAGCTCTAGCTTCTGTGGTACTTGATTCCATATACTTAATTACTTAATATCATTCATTCTTTCAAACACGTCAATATATGGCATTGCACTGTATAGCACATTGATTGATTTTAGTAACTCTATTCACCTTCAGGACAACCAACACACCCTTACATATCTTAAATGTGTTAGCATCACCCAAGAATCTATATCCTGCAACACTAAAGCACTTAAAAGATATTAGATTATTTTTCAAATATTATACTTATCTGACTCTAGCTAATAAAATAGTCAGACAAGTGACCTCAATTTTATAGTGCTGGAACCTCCAATCTTGCATACAGCTCTATTTCTACAAACACACTGGAACTTGACTCATATATGAAACAACAACAACAACAACAAGTTTTTATCCCCCTACATAAGCTGCTACATTAATATTTGTTGTTGTTGTTGTGTTCTATTAAGAGTCAAATTTTCATTTAAATCTTTTTTAATAATTTCTAACCAAGTATTTTTAAGTCTATCTTATCATTCTTAACATAGGTCGGATTCAATACATCTATTCTCCTGACAGGGTCATCAAAAGACCAACTTTTTATGTGACCAAGTCACCTAAGATGACTATCTCAAATCTCATCTGCCACTAGAGCTACTCCAACCTTTTCACGCATATACTTGTTTCACATTCTGTCTCTAAGTAAAATGCCACCTAAGCATCCTCATTTCTACAACACTTCACTTAATTTTATACTTCTCTTTTAACGGCCAACATTCTGTGCCATAAAGCATAGCAGGTCTCACCACCATCTTATAAAATTTTCCCTTAAATTTGAGGGGTAATTTTCTATCACATAATATGCCCGATGCATTCCTCCACATCAACCATTCAACTTGAACTCTTCAAATAATATCCCCCTTTATTTTGCCATGAATTTAAAAAATAGACTCGAGATATATAAAATATGCAATTTTTTAATCACTTGATCACTTAATATGACAATCCCACCACTAGATCTATTATTACAAAAGTTATATTCCCTGTATTTGATTTTAGAACTACTTAAACAAAAACCTTTAGACTCTAGGATTGACCTCCATGATTTAAGTTTTTCATCAACTCCCTCTCTAGTCTTATCAACAAGAAGAATATCATTAACAAAAAGCATAGACCAACGTACGTCATCTTGCAAATGTCTAGTAAGAGCATCCGGGACTAAAGCAAAAAGATATGGGTTTAAAGTTGATCCTTGATGTAATTCAACTAAAATAGAAAAATACTTGGTCAAATTATCTTGTGTTTGAACAAAAGTAATAACTCTTGTATACATATCATTTATGACTTGAATATAAGCATATTAATTCCTTTATTTTTTAGGACTCTCTAGAACACTTCTCTTGAAACTTTATCATATGCGTTATCTAAATAAATAAATAACATGTCTAAATCCTCCTTACTCTCTCTTTACTCCTCCATCAAACCTCTCAACAAATGCATAGCTTCCATAATAGATCTACGAGGCATGAAGCCAAATTGATTTTGAGAAACATTAGTATCATGCTGTAATCTATGCTTAATTACTCTCCCATAATTTTAAGGTATGCCACATTAAATCACCTTTATTCTTAAAATAAGGAATCAACACAATCTTTCTCCACTCATCTAACATCTTTTTAATTTTTAAAATAATATTAAAAAAATCTAGCAAGCCAACAAATTCTTTGATTTCCAAAGCATTTCCACACTTCTATTAGAATATCATCATATATTAAAAACACATGAAAATTTGACCATATGTAATTAAAACAAAAAGTCCAAAATGCATTGCTCATTACACCGACGGTCTTCTATCACCAAAAGAGCATCACCAATTTCATAAGCAAAGAAATTTTAAACAATAATTGCATTAATAAGCTTATTTTTTTGTGGTCATCAATTATTTTTATTTTGTTTTATTCTAAGTAAAATAATCCTTCCATGTGCCTTCTAACAATTGAAGCAAAAAACATATTTTAAATTTATTATGAGATTTACCTCTATCATGATTAGAAGAAAAAAATCGCTCATCGAATCTCCTTTTATCTTGCAATAAATCGCTAGCTGTTTTATTGCCTTCTCAACCTCAAAAATCACATCATTTAAAAGAAATAAATTATTAACATCTTCTAAGATTATTGTATCACAGCTTCATAATATGATATTTCAAAAGTATTTGTAAGAGGAAGGTAAAGAGTACAACATCGAAAAACAAAAGATCTTCATCATCAACAATCACATCCATATTTTTAATCTCAATTGATGGAATTCAACTCGCTCAAATATGATTTAAGAGGCATATATTCTTGCATGTGAAGCATGATTTTAAAAAATGATTTGAGGCATATGCCATGATGCACACTAAAAAAGCCATAAGGCTTGCACCTTATTATCCTCAGTGAGGCTTATGGCTTTTTATCGGAGGCGTTTGAGGCACCTCAAATGAGTTAATATTTTAAAAAGACTTTCCTATATTATGTTATATAATATTTAAATAAAATTATATAATATTTATATTATATTATACTTTCATTTTAGGTCAGCCAACCAATACCTCTATTTAGGTCGAGAGTTTGATTGGATACAAGATGAATGAAGAATCTAATTTATGTTATGTTTTTACAAAAATTTAAAAGATATAAATCTCAAGTTACAAAGACAGAGAAATCGTGCTGATGGAATTAATCATTTGATTGTTTATGATGTACAATGTAATGATATACAGGACTAAATTGCTGAGAGAGACTTATCATTCATCTTTGTTTTATCTTCTTCATACATGATTTCAAGCATACAGCCCATGAGTGTTTTTATAAGTCCCTATTGAACAAAAACACTACATATTTTGATTCTCCAAATGCCAAAACTCTTTAAGTTATCAAACTTCTTAATCTCAAAATTCACAATCATCACACATTTCATAACCTCGCCCTAATACCAGTTGTTAGAAAAATTAGTGTACTTTAACCAAAGGATAAGTATGATGAATCACAAAGTAACTACAAAAGCCAAAATAAAATTTATGTGATTTGACTTAATTATGCTTATGTCTACAACCTAACGGAGATCAAATAATGCATCAAGCTTCAAAAGACAACAACAACAACAACAACATCAAGCCTTTATCCCACTACGTGGGGTCGGCTACATGAATCCTTTTTCTCCATTGTGTCCTATTAAAAGTCAAATTCTCGTTTAAATCTAATAAAGAAAGGTCATTCCTAATATTTTCTAACCAAGTCTTTTTAGGTCTACCCCTACCTTTCTTAACATAAGTCAAATCTAATACCTCTACTCTCCTAACCGGGTCATCGCAAGGCCGCCGTTTTATGTGACCAAACCATCTAAGGTGACTTTCTCTAATCTTATCTTCTACTGGAGCTACTCCAACCTTTTCACGTATATGCTCATTTCGTATCCTATCTCTAAGGGTAAAGCCACTCATCCACCTGAGCATCCTCATCTCTGCCACACTTAACTTAGTATTATGCTTCTCTTTTAAAGGCCAACATTCGGCACCATAAATCATTGCAGGCCTCACTACCATCTTATAGAATTTTCCCTTAAGTTTGAGGGGTACATTTCTATCACATAACAAGCCCGATGCATTCCTCCACTTCAACCATCCAACTTGAATTCTGCTGATAATATCCCCATCTATTTCACCATCACTCTGAACAATAGATCCAAGATATCTAAAACGTGTACTCTTATTAATGACTTGATCGCCCAAAGTCACAATCCCCTCACTAGGTCTATTACTACTAAAATTACACTCCATATATTCTGTTTTAGATCTACTCAAGTGAAAACCTTTAGACATGAAATTCCTTCATCTCCTAAGCATTTCCACACCTCTATTGGAATATCATCAGGTCCAACAGCTTTTCCACCCTTCATTTTCTTTAAAGCCTCTCTAATTTCAGTTTTACTAATACGCCGATAAAAATATAAATCTTTATTTTCATCTAGGGTGCTAAGGTCACTATAGTCAATCTTATTTTCACACTCTTCATTAAAAAGTTTAGCAAAATATCTCATCCATCTTTGTTGAATATCATCTTCTAAGAAAAGTATTTTTTGATCTTCATCTTTAATACACTTCACTTGAACTAAATCCTTACTACTCCTATCTCTTTGTTTGGCTAACTTATACATATATCTTTCTCCCTCTTTAGTATCTAATCTATTATATAAATCACTAAAAGCTAATGCCTTTGCATCGCATATTGCTTTCTTAGCATCCTTACGAGCCACTTTATATATTTCCCAATTATCAGAATTTTTAAAATTAAACCAGTTTTTATAACAAAGCTTCTTATTTTTAATTTTTTCTTGCACATTAGGATTCCACCACCAACTATTTTTACTATTGGGAGCTTTTCCCTTTGATACTCCAAGGACATCTTTTGCAATATTCTTAATATCACTAGCCACTTTTTCCCACATAATATTAGCATCCTCATGCACAGACAAAATCTTAAGATCTAAAATCTTATTTCCAAAAATATTTTTGTTAATATTCTTTAAATGCCCCCATTTAATCCTAGAAAATTGTTTTACTTTATTTTTTATTTTATGCCCCTTTATCTTAAAGTCCAAAACTAATAATCGATGTTGGGTACATAAATTTTCACTCGGAATAACTTTACAATCTTTGCAATCTAAACGATTTGATTTTCTAATAAGAAAATAGTCAATCTGGGTTGTATTATATCCATTTTTATAAGTGATGAGATGCTCATTCCTTTTCTTAAATAAGGTATTAGCAATTGAAAAATCATAAGCTAAACAAAAATCCAATATGGTCTTGCCACCTTCATTCGTCGTTCCGAATCCATGGCCACCATGAATGCTTTTAAAATCATCTACCTCTCTACCAACATGTCCATTTAAATCTCTTCCAATAAAAACTCTTTCTCCAAGAGGTATATTTTGTATTAATTCTTATAAGTCATTCCAAAAATTTAATTTAGAACTCATATCCAAACCTACTTGAGGAGCATAAGCACTTATAATATTAACAATCTTATCATCAACAACAATCTTTAAAGCTATAATTCTATCTCCAATCCTATTAATTTTTATAACATTATCCTTTAAACTCTTATCTATAATAACATCTACACCATTTCTAGTACGACTCCTACCCGAATACCAAAGTTTAAATCCTAAACTATCAATATCCTTAGTCTTATCTCCAACCCATTTAGTTTCCTGAATGCACAAAATATTTAACTTCCTATGAATCATAATATCTATTAATTCCATTAATTTTCCTGTAAGGGAACCTATATTCCAAGTTCCTATCCTAATTTTAGTTTCATGGACTAGCTTCTTTGCCCACATACGTCCTTGATGTGGGAACCCTTGCCTATTTAACACTGCACCCGGGCGCCGGTGCAGCGGCCCTTGCACACTTGTCACTGTATTCAGGCCATACAGCGCGTCGCTTCCAGGGGACGCCCTAGCATTAACACAATTTCTTAAAGGATTCATGTCATTATTGTTCGACAAGTTTTACGCTGGCTGTCGACTACCTAACGCAACCCTCCACTTTTCTCATCAAGCTTCGAAAGAGAGACGAAAAATTGCAACTTATACAAACTTAGAGATATAGACAAAGATACAGTTTTCTCTAACTCTGAGAAAATGCAATCACCTATTGCTAAGATGAGAGCTATAAATGGAGAATTTGTTGTTGCTCCAGTTGCTCTGTCTCCTCTCTATTATAGAAGTCCAAGTGAGAACTATTCATTGCTATGACAACTTTTTCTCTTTCTAGAACAAGAAATTATAATATTTCTTCGTTCTTCAATAAGCTCAATAGCTGTCCTCACAAGCACCCAAAATTTTTTTCTTTTTCTTTCTTGAATGACACCCCTTCCTCTCTCTTTCTCTTTCTCTTCCCCTTTTATTGCTTCTTGTTGTAGGATGCATCAACACAATGAAACTCTCCTCAAACAGTGCCTAGAGGTGATAGGTAGCAAGTTTGAAAAAACCAAGTGGATGGTTGTAGATATCATAATGTTGTTGGGTGGAGGATACAAGATAATAAATTTAGGGTGGTAGGTAGAACTTTGTATGATTTAGGTCAAAAAAATTATCCTTATATATTAATAAACAAATAACATATAATACTAAAATTGGAACTGTATCTTATGTAGTTATGTTTTCATATACAGTTATCAAAATTAGTATAAGCACCTATCTCTCAGCTGCGGTTTACAACACAAAATATTGAACTTCAAATATGATATAAATTGCTTCGTAATATCAGAAAAATATTAGAAAATGTTTAAGCAAATCCCTCTTCTTCTAAATAAGTTGCAACTAAGACCCTCACTTTTTGAGACCCATAAGTAGACTGTAGACCCGTGGTTGTTTCACTGATTGATTAAAAAGGAGGTTCAAAACTATTTTCTAAATTAATTTTGCCATTCAAAATTCCCCCCTCATTATTTCCCTGCATAAACATACTATGCTTACCATTACTTTATCATCAGGCTTTCTAAGATAATTTCTTTGAAATCAAAATAACACTATCTTTTCAATATATTTTTGCCCAAGCGAACCACTAGCTGGACCTCATTGGACTAATCTCCAACAGATGCAGCAAGAGTAAAATCCAGTGGTGGCAAGCTGAAAACATTCAGTCATTTCCTCTGTTGTTGTTTACAGTAATGGTATGGACCTAGATGTGCATTTTGACATGAGAATGCAGCGAATGAGGAACCAATATGAAAATTATAATAGAATAAATGCATGTCCAAAACAGGAACCAAAACAATAATTTAAGAAAAAATGACCTCATGGCGCAATTATTTGAATAACCAAAGAAAAATTACAGCTGCAGCAAATAAGTACAATCAAGAAATCAAAGTTTTCCAAGCATAACCTAACATTATGTCATGATTTCATACATATGCGTGAATAAACTGGTACAAATTAAGAATCTGAGGGAAACAACCACACTTGCTAAGCAAAAAAGAACTTGAGATTGCAAAATCAGCAAGCATAAGTTTCTTCCCAGTGACCAGAATGTTACATAACTAAATGGGGAAGCCCGTCTCTTCAAATGCGGATGGTGAATATATTAACAGTAGTAACTAAAAACGTGTTTGAATAACATGCTATCCCATCCTAAGCAATATCTAGTGCAGCACAAGCTCATCATATACATAGAACAGTAACAAGATCCTAAACAAAAGCCTTGCATCGGAAAAATTATTCTGTGCGGACAACGGACACCGTCCGGAGGCGAATCAGAGCACGCCATGTCACCCTTTTACTGTGTACTGGGGTGATGTGGCACGCTCTTATTCGCCTTTGGACGGTCCGGTGTCCGCACAGAATAATCTCTCCTTGCATCTAGCATAAAAATCATCATCATCATTCCTTCACAAAGTGCAAAGCAAAATGTAATTTGAATACATGCATGGCTGGCCCCTCTTCATATGTACTTCAACATGTTCTAAAATATTACACTCATTCCTATTTTTTCTTGGCCAGCCCCTCCAATACGGATATGTGAGATTGCAAACAAAAAGTGTTCTAAAACAATCTTAATTGCCTTGTTCAACCATGTACTTGCTTAGAAAAGGTTAATTTCATGTAATATCTCTAATAGTTTTTATAAATACAATCTTCATGTAACCATATTGGACTATTGAATGAAATTGAAGATTGTTGATTGCTTGCAATAAAGATTAGTAGCTTGATGGTTTCCTCTCTTTGAAGAATTTGGTGAGTTCTTTAAGTTTTCTTGATATGCTTGTTTTAGTTTGATTATTCCTATCATAGCAACTAACGATGATTGGATTCAGTAGGTTGTACAGAGAACGGCAGGGAGTGAAAATTGGACTTATGGGCACTTAATGGTTCATTGAAATAACTATGTTCGGCTATTATTATGACCAGATCCGGCCTGATCGCATCCAACCCGATATCTACACATGAATGCCCCACGAGTAGTAACAAAATCTTATAGTTTCAATGCACTTTATAGATTTTCCTTTTGAAGCGTATAAATTTTTTTCAAAAAAAAAAAAAAAAAGAACGTGTGGCATTTAGTATGAGAAATGCTAAATTTTCACCACCATATCAACACAAAGCTAATTGATACAGCCCAACAAACGGGGGGTTAAGTTTATTGATAACCATTCTAAATAACACAGCAATCTACGAGAACAACAATTACGAGGTTGCACGGACATTAAAAAGCTTTGCTTACACTATTATAAATCAAATTGGACCAAGTGCAACCCCTTTAATCTTTTTCAGAATGCCAAAATCTAATACAAAATAAGAAGGTAAAGGTCAGACTCGAGCTCTCAGAAGAATTTAACAAAAAAAATCTCAAAATAAAAGGAAGATCATCTAGTTCACGGTTACAAGTAGAAGGATTTCGCTTAACCTTAAAGATTGACATGAGGGAAACCTCTCTTCGAATAATTCGTTTAATGACAAACCAAAAACTAATTTCTCTCCAAATTAGACACTCCCATTGAAGAATAACAGGTTAATCCTAAGATGAAGCACATCCAATTAGACGGAGGAAGCAGTGCCAACAGTTCTTCAAGATCATACCGTAAAGAGATTGGTGCTCTTGAGGCGATTCATCTTCAGGTCCTTCTTAGGTTTGACTAAAGGCCACTTTCCACCGATTTCCTTAACCTTTTTCTTCTTCATCATCCGGAATTCTTCTTCGTCCCTCGCTGCCATCTTCGCCGTCGTTTCAGAAGACCCAAGAATGTACTAGGTATGCCTCGGTAAGGAGAACTTCCTTGTTTGTTTTGGAGGGGAAATGGGTAAGGAAAACTTACCGAAATGTCAACCTACCATACGAAAAAACGAGTTAAAAAAATTTGGAAATTTTCAAAATTAAATTCCTATTTCAATAAAATGCTCAAAAATATAAACACAACAACATTAAATTTGACTCAATCCGAGTTCAAATGGGACCAAATCGAATACCCGAAGTGCATTTGAAAAGTTCAAGTCATAAATTGGATGATCAAACTATTTCCAAACATGACATGCTTATAGCCGAATTGAGCGGCTCGACGAGACGAATCCAACGAGCCCAACATCGTTAAATTTTGATATCATTAAGACATTCAAACGCATAGTAAACAATTCACGATCAAGGGAATCAACATCTGCCATCTATTCAAACCACTCTCAACCTATTCATAATCTTCCTCTTATATATTGGTCATGTCACAATCAAAAAATTATAAATAGGCATCTCATTTCTCATGAAAGATGACCCAAGCAAGGAAGAGAAGGAAGTGAGTTCTCTTGCCATCAAACTCCTCCTCAACCAACCCCTAACTTACGTCTGGCCACCGATTATCGACTGACTTCTATCGGGGCACTGATGGAATCCGAACTTCCGCTGGACGACCAATTGACACCGGATTTCCGCTCAGCCACCAATTGACGTCGTGCTTATGGCCGAATGATGTCGAACTTCCGACTGACGCTGGACTTCTACCCAACTGCTAACTAACGTCGAATTTCTATTCATTCACGACCTGATGCCTTACTTTTGTCCGACCTCCTTTCATAACTAGATTTCAACGTGATGGTTGACCATTGTAATAGGATCATCCTTAATTTCAAGGATGAATCAATTACATTTATTCTATTATAACACTAGTGGAATCATTTCAATTGGGGGTAGCCCCTGATTTTTCATTTTTTCCAATGTTTCTCACATAAAAATTTTAGTGTTTCTTTTTTCTTCTATTTGTGTGTTAAATATCCGTACAATATTGAGACAAAAAAATCTAACTCTATCTCCAAGTATCTTCTAGCCCGCAACAAATATAAATGTAACTAATATATAAATTTGTAAATTTAATATATTATTAATTAATGTTATATATTTATAAATTATATACAAAAATTATATTATAATTTTTATATATAAATCTTTTATGATAAATAATTTATCATAAATAGATAAAAAAAATTTATAGTGTATGTACAAATAAATGAATAAATTATTATTATTAACCAAAAAATAAATATTATTCACTTTATAAAGAATTAATTAAAAATATGTTTAAAAAATTATACTGTATATATATTGTGAGTTTCATAATATCAATTTCATTTATTTAGTTCCACATCATTTGAAATTTTTTTCTTAATATTGTTTATATATCTTTTTGAGTTTGCATGTGTTAAGAACTCATTATGAAGTAGTGGGGTCATGCGAGGATGCTTCATTAATGTTTGGGGGAAAATAATTATGATAAGAATTTTATGTTTAATTAAAAAATAAGTATTTAAGTTTAATTTAATTTGTTAAATTGTTAATATTATTTAATATTAAAACTTTGATGTAATAAATTACTTGATTTAATTCTTTAATTAATTAGGCAATTGAACCGGCCAGTTCAAAGGAATTGAGGCCTGTTCGTCAATTGAACTGGAGGTTCTGGACGATTTGATTCAGAAGTAGTTTTCAGGATGGACTGAACTGACTTTATGACCAATTCACGGCTAAACCAATCGGATTCCTTGAATAATAGTATTATCTTATATTTAATTAATTCAAAAGTAAGGCCAATTAACAAAGTTAAGGGGGCATGTAAGGGCACAACTTATTTGGATGCATAGGGATTGTCAAAAATATTATATAGGGATTGTCAAAAATATTATATAGTCAGTATGAGAAGAAAACAATCCAACTGTTGGTGGCCGACTGATGGCGGTTTGATAGCATTGGTCGGTCAACAACCTCTAATAATATTGATTGCGTTGTGATGGTCCAATGGTAGAGGTTTGTGGACAATGGTGATTTGACGATGGTGGTTTGGTGACAACGATTTCAACAATTGTGATTGGGTGACGACACTTCAACCAAGTTAAATCTCGACAACAATGGTCGGGTTGCAGTGATTTAACGACGAGGAGATCAGCTAGCAGTGGTTCGACCATGGGAATCGGGCAATGCCGAATTGGCGATAGTGTTGGTTCAACTACAGTGGATGGGTTGTAGTAGTCTAATGATGGCGATCAGGCGACAATACTCTGATGGTGATTGGGTGGTAGCGATCTGATGAAGGTGGCTAAGCAGTGGTCTGATGATGACGGTCAGATAGTGGTTCAATGGTAGCGATCAAAATAATGATGGTAGTCGGGCGATAGTAGGACGAAGATCTAATTAAATGTCCCAAAATTTTCAATTACACTTCAACTAGTTGATTTTATTATATTTGGATGCGATTTGACTCACTTTTGATGTTGATAAATTCGTCTCATTAAGCCATTTGATTCGACTATAAGCGTTGAAATTGGAGTTTAAATGATCCTCATGAATATGCATTAAGATTCATGTCCATTCAAACCAATTGTTCACGACCAATCAAATATAATGTAATGTTTGTAGTTTTCATTTTATTGTTCATAATACATAATATAGGAAAACAAATAAAAAATATTTTGTCACGTAAGATTTTTATTTATTTATTTATAATAATACGATAAGTACTAGTTACCCCGATCAATTTTCTCTAAAATTTAAGAACATAGATATGCTATGCTAGGTGAAGAATCTCATACTCTCAGTTAGAACTATGAATAGGTGGTGAACAAAAAGAAATATGCAACATCATATGTATAAGATTGTGTGAGACAAAAACTGTTCAACTTGATCTAAGGCATCATTTGAGACAATTTTCTTCCTGCATTTCACAATAAATTTCTAGCACAAATTTTTTTTTGAAGCGATGAAAAAATAGTGACCAAAAGTTATCTTTATAAAGCTTAAAATGACCTGTGTGCTTTCGCTAATGCCAACCAAATAGGATCACCAGGACTTCAAAGGTGGGCAATCCATTCCTTGAGGTTGAAACTTCTTCGTTTGGGACACATTTCTTACAGCTTCTTAAAACTGCTTTCTAGTACAAAAATTAAAAAAAAAAAAACTAAAAAACAGCTTTAAGGAACAGTAAGAAAGTCATCCAAACGAAGCTTTAGATTCTGTTTGAGGCACCAACTCGGCTGTGTTACATTTTAAGACGCCTCCTTGGTTTTGTTTGAGGCATTTCATTTTAACAGAGGTGTAAAAATTTGCCCGTTCGAATGTTGTTTTTGGTGATCAATATATATATGCTGAGTTTCGCGGTTTTGATAAGAGAAAAAGTGTAAATACTCCTCTTTCGACGGTGAAATTATTCTGTGTGGAGATCAGATGTTGAATGTCATCCGGAGACTAATCATAATATCACGTCAACGGTACCAAACGGTACCGATCCAATATACAGAACAAAAAAATGATATGACACGTTCTGGTTGGCCTCTAAAACTGAAATTTTGCACCTCCGCCTTCGAGAGCACTTCACCTCTAAACAGTTATTCTAAAAAATCTCCTTTCGTTGCTTGCAGTTTGGTTGATCAAAAGTACATCATTGCACATCTGTTCTCCTTGTCGATCGAACATATCTGAAATTCCTAGTTGGGAAGGTAAAATTTACCGAAGCTCCCTTTTGAATTTAATTTGCACCCTCATTCTGCCTAAAAATTTCATATTGGTTCATGAAATCTCTTTCCCTGTAGTATCTGCTTCAGCATAGTTTATTTTTCTGCCATTTTTTCAGCTTCTTAGACTATCTCCAACCGTTCGACAAACAACTGAATGGAGGCTCTCAAACGTCACAACCGAATGTCATTTCCTCCGTCATTTGATCGCAGTTGAACAGTGCGATTGTCACTTCCGCCATTCTTTTCTCTCTACCGAACTTGCCTAAAATGGCGCGAAAGAAGCAAGCGATGGTTAGGAGGCAAAATGTCATTCCTTTGGAGATGAATCACAGTACTTTTTGGTTTTACTGCATTTTGCATTGAAAAATGAGAAAAAGTATTATTGCATTTTGCAGTGAAAAATGAGAGTTTCGGTTGGAGATGCCCTAACTGCTATCAATAGCTCATGAGGATGGAGGTGGATGTGATTTTGTTTGATTGTGTTGCAGTCATATATCTTCTTCACAAACTTTTTTTTTTTTTTTCATTTTCTTTCAGTGAAAATCAATCATCGAAATATATTTGTGTATGGCCTGTATTGATCAATTATTCCGATAAATTTTTTCAATGAAACCTTTACTTTATTTGTTCCAAGCTAGTTATTGTTTTTGGCCTTTTAATTACACAGTGCTATTATTTTTAATATATTTATATACATTATATTAAACTCACCTAAGCAAAATTAATAATTATAAAATTCCCCCGGATTAAATTTGAGCTAAAACGTTACAATCCAAATTTTTACAAATTTCATAGCTTTTGAAAGTGCACATAATTTATTGGTTAATGCCAACCCTACCATCTTAAGTAGAACAAAAAATACATAAAAATTATTTATATATTTACATAATTGATAGCAATGATGCAATATTATATTGTCTATGTCGTAGATTTACTATAATTAATTGTAATGAATTATAATTTTAATTTTTAAAAAATATAATAAAATCTAAAAACGTCATTAACAAAAATAACTTTAAAATATGAGCACCTCCCCTTTAGTTTCTCAAACTCTATCTATAAAGGTGTTAAAAAATGACATGGACTCAAATCTGACCAGAAAAATTAGGTTCATGTTGACATATTTAATAAACGGGATGAGTTTAGATCTGAAATTTTGATATATTTATTAAACATGTTGGATTTAGTTGACCCGCCAACCTGATTTTGACCCAAAATGACCCATTTAAATTATTATTTTTTCCTTAATTTTTATATTTGTTGATATGATTATCTTATTTTTTTATCAATTAATAAAAAATCTATATATTTAAATAAAAACGGGTTATTGGGCTGAGTTTGGGTCACTGAGATTGCTAACGAGTCACGTTTGAGTTCGCATTTTTTATCTGTTTATTAAACGGGTCAGGTCAATTCTAGACTTAAACCCGACCCATTGACCCAATTTTGACACGCATTACCTACAACTTCCTTATATTGAAAGTCACCATATGGATAAATATGTATAGCACATTCACAATGAGAAGGGTGGATCTCTCTTTCTCTCTCTATAAAAAAAATTATTAATGTTGCAGTATTATTGACAATGAATAGAGGAATGGCCAACACATGAGTTGTGCTGTTTTGCCACTATTATTGAGACAAAGGGAAACCATGGAAAGATAATGCTAAGATTGAATTTCAAGACAAGAATGGAAAATAATGGTATCAGTAAATTCATCAGTATTGTTCTACTCTTTTCAATTTCAAGCTCTATAATTAATGGCTTGCAGCAAGAGGGCAAGTCCATAGGATATTGTTATGTAGTTACCGCTTATTATTAGGAAAACACGAGGCATGCTGTGGACGAGATGTGCCGTGATGAACTCTACGAGACACAGACCTGCACAAGTTAAAATGTCGTCAAGTTCAACGAAGGGAAAGGGAGACAGAGACTGTGATAGGAAGATGATATGATAAGATGGATTAATTAATATATAAATAAGTGACTTGATCGGTCATACCTTGCTCCATCGAAATAAAAGTCTAAGACTTAAGCTTTGTTCGGAACAAACTTTCTAACTTTTTAAAAAAAAAGTTTTTTTAGTGCAAAAAATTCTTGAACTAAAATTTTTTATACTAGAAAGTTGTTTTAAAAGTGGTTCATTTTATTGGTAGAGACAGTCATCTTCCAGGAAAATTATTAGGTGCGGACACCAGACTTAGAGGTACCTCCGAAATCCAATAAAATATCAACACGTGGAGTGGACATGCGGATATTCAATTGGATTTATTTTTTACTTTATATATCTAATGTGTTCGCGGAACTTTAAGCCAAGCGCAGATAAAGTGCAGGTAAAGCGCAGTCAAAAAGCGCAACTAAATCGCATGTAAAGCGCATTCAAAAAGCGCAACAAAAGAACGGTCAAAGCGCAACTAAAGTGCAACTAAATGGCAGATAGAGCGCACAAAAAGTGCAACTAAAGTACACTCCACGTTTCAAATTTTATCTCCACGTGTCAAATTTTATCTCTACGTCCGATGTCTGTACCTAATAGTTTTTCCATCTTCCATGGTGTTCACACATATGCAAAGGAGACGAAGGAGGATAGATAGAGGAACGGTGGTAGAAAAGCAAGGGTGGGGATCAGAGGGCTGCCTAGTTGATAGTGAAAACATGGTTTGGAGACAAGGAAGATTAGAGATGAGTGCAATAAAAAAATGTAGTATTCATCAAACTATCAATAGGTTGTTGCAGGGTCAGGATAAACAGGGAGGAGAGAGAGAGAGAGAGAGAGAGAGAGAGAGAGAGAGAGAGAGAGAGAGCAGCCTCAATATGAGGTGAAAGAACTAAGACTGAGGCCATGCTGCTAGATCTGGGTAACCAATATGGGATATGCTGGACAGTCTTGTTAAAGGCAAGCATTGAAGCGCACTTCAACGGGGAAGAGCTGCGATGTGGAGCAGACACGTGCTGTAGCCTAGCACAAGCACAGAAAAGGAAGAGAGCAGGTTGCATGAAGCTCGAGCACACAACCATAGCACAAGCATTGGTAAGGTTCTTGGTAGTTCATCTTTGAGCTGACAAGTTGTAGCTTTTGGGATCGTCCCACATGCCCAGTTGAATGAACAATTTAATAACAAAATAAAAAGAAGCGAGAACTGCAAAAGACAGCTTATGGCTAGCGAAGCGAACAGCAGAAGAAGACTCCTGACCTTCTCATCTCAGTATGACGAACAATTATTACGTCTTCCGACCGGATGCAGAGGAACATAAAAAACTCGGTACACCTCGGTATAGGCGCGATTTTGCCTACAACCGGATGTTCCTCTGTATCCTTACACCGGACGAAATAAAAGTTCCAGTATGACAGTATCCAATTTCTCCTCCACACTTGAACATCTCAATAGGAACACTAACCTTCTCAGTTGTGTAAGGTAGTTCTTTATAGGCATTAATTAGGTCCCACATAATAAAGCCACCTACTACAGTGCAGAACCATTTGCTTCAGCAGTTTCAGCAACTGCAAAACTGCCTACAGCAGTTTCGGCAACTGAAGCCAACTAGCCCACTACTTGTTCTTTGCGGTTATTGTATTTCTATTAACTGCTGTTTTCAACTTTATAAATGCATAAAGAATCAATTGTAAAAGTACCGTGCGAGATTATCTAATGAAAGCTTAAGTTCTGTTTTCTGCTTGCATTATCTTCTTCTATGTTTTCTCTATAGAGTTGCAAATTCTTCTATATTGTTTATCATTTTCATCATGGTATCACAGCTGCTTGCATAACTGCAATGGATACATCTCAAGCCTCTTCAACCAATGTTCCGCCTCCAGCCATCAATCCGACTACACCATCTGAAACCCCCATTCTTGCTTCCTTACAGTTCCTTGTTTCTAACATCACGAATGTTATTCAAACTCAGCTTCTACCCGACAACTACCCCACATGGCGAACTCAAATCCACAAGTTATTTCTTGTCAATGGGTTCACTGGGTACCTTGATGGCACCATTTCTTCCCCGCCCAAATATACCCTCTCCAATACAAATCCCATTAACCTAAATCCTCAAAATACCCAATGGCTACTTCTTGATCAAATCTCTCAGTTGCTCTTCTTTCTACCATATCTGCTTCTATTCTCCCTTACATACTTAACTTAGACTCTTGCATGCAATTTGGACAACTCTTGAGCGCCGATTATTTTCCACCAACCGTTCTACAGTTATTCAACTCAAGAACGAGCTTCACTCCCTCACCCATGCGAAATCAATCCATGACAAATTACCTTTCTACTGTTAAACGTTTGCTGGATAATATTGCATCAGCTGGTGGACTAATTGATACCGAAGATGTCATCCTATATATTCTAAATGGCTTGCCTGCAAACTATAAAGCTTTTAAAACTGCAATCAGAACCAAGCTTACACCCATTTCCTTGGATGCCTTATATTCCTTACTTTATAGTGAGGAGGTTAATCTCGCCACATATTCTTCAAAAGAACTTGCCATAACATATTCTTCAACACTCACCAATACTCAGTTTACGCTTGCCTCAACCAAGGGGCATGGTCGCACTACTTACTTTCGAGGTCGTGTACGCGGTAATCCTACAACAATAACAACTGCAAACAATGTCACTTTCAGGGCGGCAAATCCAAATCACTGACTACTTATCAAATATATATGTGGACGATGAGGACACTCCGTCTTCTCATGTTCGCATTGTGCCAACCTACAATATACTCCTTCACCATCGCAGGCTCTACTAACCGAATCCTCCTCAACCTCCTCTGCGCCATGGTATCTTGACAGTGGGGCAACATCACATCTAACACCAGAGTTACACTCAATACATGATGCCTCTCGTTATCAAGGCTCCGACCAAGTTATCATTGGTAATGGTAATGCTCTACCTATTGCACCTTCTGGCAAAGGCCTTTTGTCGACCCCCAACCGTATGCTTACCTTAAACTCTATTTTTCATGTTCCCAACTCATTCCATAATCTTCTCTCTATTTCTAAGCTTGCGACGGATAATAACTGTTCTATTTTGTTTAAATCTTTTGGTTATCATATAAAGGATCGGAAGACTCATCAACCACTTTTCCAGGGACCATGTCTTAACGGTTTGTACCCGATTTCTCTCCGATCCACTGCACTCATTACGGCCTCTACGTCCACTCTTTGGCACCAGCAGCTGGGCCACCCCAATTCAGCAACTCTTTCTATTATTTCTAAGTCATTTCCACATTTCTTTATTTATTTCCCTTCTCTACATCTATATGTAACTCTTGTGCTTTAGCCAAAAGCCACAAGCTTCTGTTCAATGAATCCACTAGTCTTACTACTGCTCCACTTGAATTAGTTCATGCTGATATTTGGGGGCCATCTCCTATCAGACTATCATTTATACTACTGGTTTTTGTTACTATTTACTTCTTATAGGTGATTACACACGATATAATTGGATATTTCCTCTAAAACTCAAATTTGAGACAACACAGACATTCATCCAATTCAAAAAATTCATTAAAAAACATCTACAAAAACCCATTCGCACCCTTCGCACTAATGGAGGTGGCGAATTTTTAAATAAAACTTTTCATAATCAATCAGCATGGAATTCAACACCAGTATACATGCCCATATACCCCTCAATAAAATGGTGTTGCTGAATGCAAACACCGTCATCTCCTCGAAACTGTTCGTACTCTCCTATGCGAATCCAAACTTTCTTACCACTTTTGGGTTGATGCTCTTCTTATTGCCATTTATCTTATCAATCGTCTACCCTCTCCCACTACCTTGCATAAATCTCCCTTCCAACTACTATACAACAAACCTCCAAACTACTCCCATCTCCGAGTATTTGGGTGTAGATGCTATCCATGGCTTCAATCCTATTCCTCAAATAAACTTCATCCTTGATCCACACCTTGTATTTTCATTGGCTAAACCTCAAACCAAAAAGGCTACAGATGCTATGATCCAACTTCTGCACGCATCTTTACCTCAAGGCATGTCATCTTTGATGAATCTAGCATACCACCACCAACCATCGTCCCTATCTTACCACCAACAGAACATTCGTACTTACCACTACCTCCCATTTTCCCTTCCAAACACTCTCCAACATTAGATTCAAACACCACTCATAATTCGGTCACACATGTGCCCTCCTCTACAAGTTTCCAGCAATTCCCTTCTCCTCTTTCATCTTCTACTCCCACTCATCTACTTCTTCCCCCTCCAATTCAACATATGCTTCTCCACAAACCCCTCCACCACAAATTCGCCACTCAGCTACAAACAAGATTTCTTAAACCCCACCAAATTCTCGATCTCAGCCACACTCCTCAAACGACACCTACCACTTATAATTCAGCCATTAAAAGTCCTGAATGGCGTAAAGTCTTATCAGATGAATTCAATGCCTTACAAGCTCAAGGCAAATGACTGGCGTAAAGCCTTACCAAGGTTAGGGTAACCAAACCCCATTAACATTTTATTTTTATCTAGTAAATGCCTCAATTTATTAAAACTTAGCCAAGTTGTCTCAATTTAGCCCGATAAGTAAAAATAATGCCATCCATATGACAAATGATTGCTAATCATTTAACATTTCAGGGTAGGAAGTTAGGGTATCTTGCATTTGGCCTTAAGAATATTCATGCATCTTCACTGCACTATCATAATTCCTCCCATGATCGAAGTCTTCGGCAGCAGCATCCTATGTTCATGCAATTGGCTAAAAAGTTTAATGATTGCTTACCCAAAAAAAAAAAAAAATGTGGAGCACTAAAAAGCTTGAACAAAAAAAAATGTAGAACAAAAGATTAGTAGGCAATCTACTAGAGATGTCATAGTGGAGCAAGCCAGCAAGGCTTGCAGTGAGAGTTGTGCGAGAAGGATCGCCAATTTGTCGTGGAGTTTCAAGGGCAAAATAGTTCAAGAAAGTAATATCTATTGTCGGTTTAGATGTCGTGTACTAGCAAGTGGTGGTGTTCAGATTACATACCTTCTACGCCTGCTTCTACTGCGACTTCTTCTAGGGGTTGTACTTCGGTTTGCCCTCCTTGACATACTTCCCTCAGATATTTTCACCTAAATGCAAGCAAACAATTAATGGGTTGGGTAAGTGCAGCCTTGCAAAACTGGTTGTGGAACTATATTTTATCATTTTTATTTAAGATTTAGGCTTTGTTTGGAACAACTTTCTCATTGCCTCTTAAAGCAGCTTTTTAGTACAAAAATTAAAATTGTTGTACTAAAAAGCTATTTTAAGAAACAGTAAGAAAGTCACCCCAAACAAAGTCTTACTAGGAAACAAGATTCTGTATTGTTCTATCCAACGAACATGTTAATAAATACCCACATATATAAGATCATTTAACGGGTGAAATCCTGCATTTAATAATGTTGGGTTATTCTATAAAGCTTCTGTTCTCAATAAGATGGAAGAGTGTTGCTTATGGCCGAGAAACCATGGAGGTGGGGATGCCCTGTACGCTTTTCATTGCTCATTTTCTACGGAAATAAAAAATTATAATGTTCAAGATTCTTATGTAAGCAAAGCAGCTGAAAATCACCACCAAATAATATTCTCAATGAATTTTTTTTTTTCTTTCTATTTATGCAAACTACCGTTGGTCGGATATCATGGACTTTTTTTTTTTAGAAGACCAAACTTCTTTCTAGGCCCCCAATGCATTTCATGGATCTACACAATGTGTCCTGCTATCTAGCTTGCATAAATCAGCTTCCATGAAGTTGCTAATATATATTGGGGCTATATTTCAGTACTATTCTATCTTAAGGGCCTATATTCTGCTAAAAAAAAGTAATACGGAGTAAAATAACTACAGTAAAAACTGAATGTAATATATTGAAAATATTTGAGTTGTTTGATTGAATACATTACAAATATAGGAGTTTATTTCTTTGTGTTTAGTTTGCAGTAAAATTAATATAATATAAAAGACGGTGGTGGTAGTAGCGTCATGACGTGAGTAGTGACCGCAACGATAGCAGTTAGCAGTACCACTGCAACAGTGGCCAACGGAAATTTTGATGTCGGTGACTGGCAACGACATGAGACACTAGGCAATGACAGTAACAAGCAGTGGGGGCGGTGGCCAACAATAGGCTGTCGGGGCAGTGGCCAACAACAGGCTGTCGGGGCGGTGATTGGGGCCAACATTACTTCACACAAGTTGCATATTTGGAATTCAACCAAATCGGACGAATTAAAAATAAATTAAAAATAAAATATATGGTAAATTATAAATTGTAAATTCACTTACAAAATACTTTGCATTTGAAATACAACTATCCAAAATTTCTGTGTTTGCTTTACTTTACACCTAAAATACAACCCCGAAGTAAGCATTTATACATAAAACACATACACTGATAAGTAAGTATTTGACATAAATATACAAAATTTCATAATCAAACATTAGACATGCACTTGCGAACATTTTGCATAACAAACACCCTTTTATTAGCATTTATGCTATTGTATATATTTAACATGTTGAGCCCTAATAATTGTCCTAAACTTGCCTACTTGATAATAGCTCAATTTCTACTGGACTCAAAAGTAAAATCAGCTTTCTTCAACTTGAGGATAGCTTAGACATAAATCAAGTTCAAGTTGAGTTGAAAAATGATCGATCAACTTTTGAGTTTTTTGAATCATTCTTATTAATTTTGTAAATAATATAAAAGTTTAACTAAATTAACAAAAATATTTATAATGTAAATTTGCATTTAATAATTTCAATGCATATATATATATATATATATATATAAAGAGAGAGAGAGAGAGAGAGAGAGAGAGAGAGAGAGAGAGAGAGAGAGAGAACATGTTATGTGGCGTCATTAACTCAATTTTGAGTTACATTGAACTATTTTTAGACAAAATCATTGATTTTGATTCGAAATCAAATTGCTAAAACTTGACTCGAGACCATCCTATTCTGTTGAAATCCTTTAGGCTTCAATTTCAGAAATTTTTACATTATCTAAAATTTCATTTAAAAAATTCTTCAAATTAAGCTAATTCAAGGAACATTAAAATCCCTAAACATTGCAACCCTTAACGAAAAGGCAATAAATTTAATTTACAATTTTAAATTTGAACTATGCTTACCCGAATATAGGATTTTGCAAAAGGATTTCTAAATTCAGTTCTATCAAGCTTGCAAACCTGGAGAAACAAATATAACATTTACGTACAAACAAAAAACTAAGCAAAAAAAAAAAAAGTACTGACAGTGTGAAACTTACAGCATATTTCATATCATCATAGCTAGTGTAGTGAACAATACCCATAGCTCCTGAAATAAGATGTAATGGAAATGTCCAAAATCTTAAAGATATAATTATGGGTAGAAACGTTAAATGAAGTGTAAATACGAAGAAAGAGGAATGGAATGGGAAAAAAATTCTCCTCACAAAAAAGCAGCAAATACAGTAAACTATTTTAATGTTCGAGAAAAAAATTCTCCTCACAAAAAAAGCAGCAAATACAGTAAACTATTTTAATTCCCTCGAGCGGCAGTCGCCTCTTTAGTGGGGGTCCCAAAGCGCCGGCTGCGGGTACAGTGACGTGGGTGGCCCGGTAGATCGGCCGGGGTTTACAGACCGCCAAGCGCGCTCGGCGAAGCCTGGTGTGAGAGGGGATGGTTCCTCATCACCAATATATATATATATATATCTGTGTGTGTGTGGAGCTTCTCCAATTTGTGACAAGTCTCAAAACATATTTTTTGCGTCCATATAGCTAAAGTCTAGCAAATAGCATGTATTTTGGCACAAAAATGGAGAGGAGGATTGTTGCCCTTGTTCATACTAAATTCTTCCAAATATTTTTAAATTACTTTGTTGCCATATTTTCAGCGGAAAATTGTTATATAACTGGATTCTCTGTTTACAATTCTTACATTCAACTTACCTCATAAAATATAGATCATCCAGGAACAATAATTTATGAAGTTTAAAAGTTGCTTTCACTAATACATATAAACTTACTCAGTGGAGAAGGAAAACTCTGCACAATAAGATCTTATGCCATTAACAGATAATCTCAAAATTCTGATTCAGATAAACCTGTATAGGCCTACACACTAACAACACATAACATTGCCATGACGGAAACATTAATTACATGAGTTCAATTTTCAGGCTGGCAGAGATCAATGTTTGAGATTTCATGACCTCACTTTCATCTAGATTGAATTCAGGAATTTTCCAGCCATAACTTATTTAGTTTTGATCATTGAACACCAAAACTGAAAATTTGTAAAACTGGAGAATTTAGAATTGCAGAATGAAAGTAGTTAAAAAATGAAGTTATCAGCTTAAAAATTCCATATTTTAAAAGGTAATCTAAAACATTAAATGACATCCACTAACATTAAATTCTTATATTTGAATTCAAACAATTGCATAGAATTCCACGAGTTATAATTCAAAGCATAAAAATACTTTTATGAATTTTTTATAAATTTATAAGGAAGTTATTCATGTACTAAGTACAAAGAGTAATCAGAATATCAAGAGTTAATAAGAATTTTACATGTACTTTAGGAAAACTTTTGACTAAAATAGTGGTTAACATTATTTCATCAAAATATTGCCTAGCATTTATATGATTTATTCTTAGAAATCCTTGCCAAAGACTTGATCTTTGAAAATGTCAAAGAGGATTGAATCAACTAGAAATCAATAGTATAGAAGCCAAATGAAAAAGAGGGACAATATTGATTCTGAGAAATTAGGTAACCAAACTATTCTATGTTGAGCCTTGTATTTTAAAATTCAATTTAAGTTAAAGTTGATCAATTTATTTTAGAAGGTTATGGCTCATATTCTAATAACACAAAAGAAAACACTCAGGAAGGTGAGGACTTGCAATAAAATTGTAAGAAAAAACATTGGTCTCGAACCCTAGATCTAAGGTGATAACCATCGATGGGTAAAACTTCAACCTACATCATGCAAAATATAAGGGACTTGCAAACTTGAAACCCCACCTAGGAGTAAGTCAACTGGACTCTGTACTTACAATCCTACGTGGAAAGGATTATCAGCTAATCCACCAAGCACTTTTAAAATCACGAAGTCCGATCTCAATGCATGTGCAAGATAAGTAAGGCGAGTTTGATTTAGAGAATAGGACTTACAACTTGACCACTTAAGATCCTGATTATGTATATAATGCAAATGCTAATTCACAAGACCATTATTTTTATTAATTAGTCTTTAATGTGATGTTCTTTATCTACATGTGATTCCCTGGGGCATGTATGATTATCTTCATTTTGAAAACTTGTTTACCTTTAGATAAGCCATGCAATTTCGTTATTGAACTTAAATTTTAATTGCTAGAAAATTTGTCTCCTATGAGTCTACTGCATAAAACATGTCCAGGCCATGTTGACATAATTTCTGTGTCGACTCGAATCGAGTCAAATCTGACCCGATCAGATTCGATTGAACCTAATCAACTCAATTGATCCCCGTCGAACCAATAACGAGGCTAAATACGAGGATCTAGTAGTGGGTCTTGAAATTTCCATTTCAGTCAGGATTCAGAACCTTCAAAATTTTTATGATTCTCATCTTGTTATAAATTAGGTATTCGATGTCTACAAAATTAAGCTTGAGTTAGCCTATTATCATCAACGAGTTCTTAACGTCATCGAATAAATTTAGACCAACAAATTAGCTCGAGTTCCCTGAGCTCAAAATAGCAAGGTAGACTCTGGCTAAATTAGCTAAGGAAATCACAAGTATGAACGATGAGCCTATGTTGATTGGAGTCCACACTCGTCGGGTCTTGGAGCCAACAATTTTGCAATTCCCGCAGGAAGAGGGATTACCAAATTCTAAACAGCAGGATACAACTCCGGTTAATCCTCAACCTCCCCAACAAATCATTCCTGAAAATATGTCGACTGAACATCAAGTAGTCAAGAGAAGGTGCAAATCTAACGTGGCCTTAGAATCATGGTGGTATTGAAGAACAAGATGATTGGAGGTAGTCGTTCATTGATTATTTCAGATAAAGTAAATTACCAGCAGACAAATCGCTAGGTACGCAAATCAGGAAAAGAGTGTTGCGATACACGTATGTCAACTACACACTATATTGAAGAGCTTTTGACTAGATGGGCTAAGTTTTTTATGGACAAATATAATCGGATCAATTGATCTGTTATCATCCGCTAGACACCACTTCATATTAAGAGCAACTAACTATTTTTTCAAGTGAGCAGAAGCGGCTCCATTCAAAGAAGTCGCCTCTGAGCATGTGATCAACTTGTTCACCCACAATGTTGTTTATAGATTTAGTGTATTATGCCGCATAATCTCAGACAATGATAGAGCTTTCAAAAGTACTAAAATTCATAAGTTTATTGATCAGCACAAAATCGATTGGCTATATTCATCCATGTACAACCCAAAAATAAATGGCTTGGTAGAGGCCTTCAACAACACTATGATGAAATTACTCAAGAAAATTCTCATCAAAGATAAAAAGAGAATGACACACCAAGATGGTGGAAGCATTATGAGCATATCGTACAACTTACAAGACGCCAACTAAAGCCACTCCTTACGCATTGGTGTTCCGAGTTGAAGATGTGCTGCCACAAGAGATTGAGCTACGACCACTTCGGGTAACTGTCCAACATGATCTCACTCAGGAGCAAAATGCTCGCCTGAGAATTGAAGAGCTCAACACACTGATTCTTCTGTCAGGTTGGGTCGACTACCTCCTCTTACTAAGAGACTAGGAACCATGATGACTCGGCACAACGGAACCATGAGATCTTGATTAGTTCTATCATTATTCCCACTACCATCCGCTTTAAGTGCACGGTGATATAAATTTTAATTTTCAAATACTAAATTCTGCTGCTACTATACGCCAAATACTATGTATCTCTTTAAAGACTAGCCACTACAAGAAAACATGTCATTTCCGGCAAAATTTCCGGCGGAAATAAATTCATCACAAATTTTGGCGGATTTTCCGGCGGATTTCTGACGGAAAATTTTCACCAAATTTCCGACATAATTTTTGACTGTCTTTCCGACGGATTTTTTTCGAATGAATTTCCGGCGTAATTTCCAGCAGATTTCCGACGAAAATTAAAAAAATAAGTTTTATTTTAATAACTTATTGTCAAATTAAATTAATTATTTTATATTTTAAAAAAAATAACTTAAATTATTGAATTTAATAACTTAAATTGTAATAAAATAAATTAAATTATAATTTAATTATTTAATAACAAAAAATTAAATGATTTAAATTAAAACTTAAATTATAATACAATTTTATAATTATTCATTTTATTAAATTAAGTTAAATAATTTAATAATTTATTGTTAAATTAAATTATATTTCTTTTATCTTTAAAAAAATTTACTTTAAAAAATTTTAATTATTACTTTTAATATATAATAGTTATAAGTTAAATAAAATAAAGTAACAGTTAATAACAGTTTTTAATTGATGGCTAGATGGTAGATGGAAAATGCAGAAACGCACGCAGAGAGAAGGGAGGGGGTGGGGTTCGAACCCCACCAAAGGCAGAGACTACACGGGCCTGTTCGTCGGGCTGGCCTTTTCCAGGTGGGCGCGGCTGGGCTCGTTGGCCATGTGCGGGTCGACTGGGTTGCTTGGGCTGAGCGGAATTTGTGATTAATTTTTTATTTTATTTTTTTTTTACTTCCGGCGCAAAAAAAAAAATCCGCCGGAAATATTTTTCCTTCGAAAAATCCGCCAGAAATACGCCGGAAATGTTTCCGGCGAATTATTTTACACCGGAAGGCTTTTTTCGACGCGCGTAAAACCGGCAAAAATGTTTCCGCCGTAAATGCTAATTTCCGACGGATTTTAGCCAATTTTCCGGCGAAAATGTTTGCCGGAAAATGACGTTTTTCCTGTAGTGAGCCTTAATCGAAAGTTCTCTCTTATTATCAGGAGGGATAATTAACTATAGGGGCTTGCGCCTATAGGAAGCTTGAACTCATACCATAAAGTCCTCTCAAAATGAGGGCGAAATTTCTGGTTAGTGTCTTACTTAAAACCCGATTTGCCTTATGAAAATTTGCCTCGGAACCTACTCGTTAAACTCTCCATGATGATCCGAAAAAACAAAGGAGTCACAGAGAAGCCGGGGCGCGAAATTTCGAAGCCCACATTGATGGAAGATATATCTAAAGATGAAGAACATACAATACATTATTAAGAGTAAATTTGGAGAAAATTGAAATATTTTCTTGGCACGCAATAGTTGTTAGAGAACCATTGACCACTTTTATTTTTCTATTATTGTGATAGAGTTTATAAGTTTGAAAAAGGTTGACAATATTGGTTAGATGATTGTGAATCTATGATCCAGATGTAAGAGAAATTATTTAAAGCAATAAAAATACAAGAGCAAGATGTAATATCATTTTGAGTGAGAGGGCATGATCCTATCATTTTTCAAAGAGTTGAGAAAGGACATAAGTTTGTTAACTTTTTTTGGATTGAGCTCTACTAGTTCTGCAAGGCAGGCATGTCTTTTGGTGACCTTTATTTCCACTATAACCTAAGGAATTTTCATGAAATTTCCCGCTTTTGTCTTTGATGTGTATTTTCTTCTTTTGTAGTTAGATCAGAGATTAATTTTAAAAGTTGATTTTTGCCCTTTTTTAAGGAAAGATCATGTAATAATAAGTATCTTACCTTGGAGTTTGGTAGTTGTTATGGAAGATATTTTGGAAACCATAGCATCAAGCATTACTGTCATTTCTTCTTTCTTTGGCTCATATGAGAGAAAAAATCTTATTTAGTGATGGTAGGTTTTTTCTTCTTTAGATGTGGATACAAACCCAATCAAAGTTATTATTGAGTCTTGCAAGGAACTCAAATACTTTCTCTTTATTCATTGCTTGAGTGAAATACCGCAGCATCACAACATTTTATCTTGAGATCTCAATAATAATCCAATTCAAACCAACAAACCTTCGTTGCATTAAAGTACTCAAGGTTATCTTGGTTGGTTGATCTTAATTTTAATTTCTTATATGAAGATAACATCCTTCCCTTTTGAGTATTATTGTTTGATGGCATCTTAAACTTCTTTTAAGATACAGAGGAACATATATGACATATGGATTTCAGGTATCATGGCATTCCATAATCATGACATGATCAGAGAATATGTTTCATCCCAAAGTACAAATTTTGGATATTTCATCTTCGAATGAGAATCCACAAGATGATGGATCTTGACCTTTTTTTTTTTTTAAAATATTCACAATTTTAAACCATTTTAGATAATTTCTCCTATTCAACAATATGAAGCTTGTAGGTTGTAGCCTATGAAGTTCTCTTTTAATTTGATTTCACCATTCATGATAGTAGACTCATTAAGAGGAAAGTCAAAGAAACAAGCTATAATGAAGAGAGAATAATCTCAACAAGGGAGAAAGAAAATGAACAAAGGATGGAAGACAAAAACCCTATAGTCGCTCTAATATCATATAAAAATTAAAAAATTAGAAAAAAAATCTCTTTGAATTTTATTGCTGATTATTTACAAATTTTAAAATATTTATAGACTTACAATGGAAATAAATCAAAGCTATTTACAAGAAAAATCCCCAAGGAGACCAGCATCAAGAATTAGAAGAGTAGACACACTACTTGCAATCTAAGAGTCATAAGATGGTCAATCGAACAACTAAAACCCTTAATCTATATTCACAAGGACTTCTACCAAGATTTCTTGACATGTGGTTCAACAATACAATGAAGTATTCTATAATGGAAGTAACCTATCTTACAAAATAAAAAAGCATACTAACATCCAGTTAATCATAAAGCAACTTTTGATGATTGACTAACACAGTAAGCTAATACGTCAAAGGAAGACCAAAAAATACTAAAAGCAATTAAGCAAACATATAAATTAGCTTATATCCAACACATCAGCTCCGGAGGCAGTTCTGTAATAGGTAATGTGATGTGCATGGTAACATTAAAAATGAAAATTCTTGTCATTAAGAGCAAATGTTATATTAAATGACCCCTTTTGGAGTCAGAACTGAAATAAGTTGTGTTGTTCTGAGATATCCAAAAACAAAAGAAAAACAACTAAGAAATTCAACTTTCCAGCACATACCATGAACATTTTGGAAGACTTCAGCAAAGCAGACATCCCCAGCCTTTCTCATATAATCCTGAAACATATAAAGAGAACTATGATAAATTCAACATCAAGGAATAAAAATATAGGGAGTTGCAGTTGGAGAAGTTAAAACCTTCAAATCTCGCCATGAAGCTGAAGAAGGCAATCCACTGACCACAACTGCAAAATAGTGACAGCATGACTGAAAAATCTTGGAATTCAGAAACAATGGAAATATGAAAGATGAAGGATTAAACACATTACAGAACACTAAAATCACCATGAAACAAACCTCTGTACTCAGAACGGTATGAGGCCCCATAGCGACTGCTTTGATCAACAAAAGATGAGAACCTTCCACCTTCACGGGCAGGCTCAACCTGTAAATAAAAAAAAAAAGCAAAGTGCAAGTCTGCAAGAAAATTTTTTTTTTCAAACAAAATATAAGAACACATTTCAAGGACACAACAGTTATACATAATTTGATCAACCTTCAAATGACAACCAGCAAATTCATATCTATTACGACCCTTGATTGCATCTTCAGCATCCAGAGAACTTTCAAACTAGAGAATGGATATGGAGAAATGAATGAAACATGACAAAGTTATGAAGAAAACTAAAAGCTTTGAATTGGTAAAATGCATACCTCAATGAAACAATAACCTCGTTTTCGAGGTGGAGCCTTCAGTTCAACTCTGACTATATGGCCATACTGCATAGTTAATAAGAACAACAATAGGAAAATGAACAATCTTATCCAAATAACAATAAAATTTTTAATTCCCAGCAATGCTACTATAAGTGACCATTCATTTCATAAGCTTATGTAAAGTACTCAGCAAGCCGTAACTAATGCTCCACATTCATGCACAAGGACTAATACTCCAACATTAGCAAAAGAAAAATCAATCAAATATGTGCTACTAAATAATTATGATTTAGTATTGCTTTAAGAACTATTAAACTCATTAATGGAGTCGATGTCAGGAAAAGACGAAAAGTTATTACGTGCGGCGTCCAGATTCGTCCGGAGACCAAAAAAAACGCGCCACGTCGTCCCAAAAATGTACCGCGCTCGGTACGGTACCGACCGCGTAACCGGACGGGAGAAACATCCGGTGTCCACACAAAATAATAGCTCTGATGTCAGAGTGTTGGTTAGCCTAATGATTCTATTGAGAACACAGCACTCCCTAAAACTAATCCCTGATATTTAGTATGTTTTCATAATAAGATAAAGGGATATGGAGAAGGCTAGGCCATAAGAAATTATCTCCTGGCTTTATGTTATATTGTTGCGTATCTGCTATTCTGCTGAAATACATAAAATTCTGAAGTTAAACTAAACCAAATGAAGCACAACAACAACAACAACATCAAGCCTTTGTCCCACTATGTGGGGTCGTCTACATGAATCCTTTTTAAAATATATATATTTAAATTGTGTTGATAGTAAATTTGGTTTATAGCCACAAACATGATAAGCCATGAAAAGAAAAGCATAAAGAAATATAAATTACAACTTTCACATTGATAAGAAATAGTAGCAAAGGTAATAAGAATTCAAAACCTTTAAAAACAAATCTTCAATTTCATGTTGGCGTACATCTATAGGAAGGTTGCCAACATATATGGTGCAGCCTGCCCGACCACTCATGTCTGCCCAAGTCAGTTATATAATCTGCCATAAAGAACAGATTCTTGAAAATCATAACAATCTCTGCATTCCCTATTAGCTGATTGTACCAAAGTAATACAACTCTTGAAACTAAATATCCAAGCTTGTTATATGAAATTGTTCAAAACTATGGATGCAAACCAAGAGAGCAATCCTTGTTGTGAATAGTGCCGCACAAGCTCCAATGATGCATTTTGTCCAAAAAGCTCCAAACATGTAAAAGAACTGACATTAACATTGAACCATTATTTCAGTATCAATTTGAAGAGTAGAGCTCCACCCCTCCCTGTATTTACAAGTCAGCTCTATTAAATATAACTATAATTCCACCCAGATTTCTCATCCACCTCTAAAGCCCTAGAACCAGCTGCAAAGCTCCTACTTGTCCAATCAGCTTTCATCTATCATGAATAAAGAATCTGTAATAGGATGCAGTCAGGCAGCCAAAATATGCATCACACCTTAATGAGGTTAACCTTCTCACAAATGAATTCACAAAAGCAAAACTTAAAAGTACAAAATCAAACAATGAAATATGGCAGAGTTTTTGTTCTTCAGAAATTCGAAATAGAAAAGAAGCATTACTTAACAAAACACTGAAAGGCTGAAAGCAACGCAAGATGAACTCGATTTCAAGAAAACTGCATATAAAACCAGTAACATAAAGATAAAATAATAAAGCATGAGAAAGCCAACAAATGAAGAGGACTGCTTTAATAAAACCTACCTGAGGAGTGAAAGTTTTGTTGCGTCCTGGAATATTTGCGGCAATAGATAAATATAAATTTTATCATCTTAGCGTTGTACGAAGATCCAGCATGCATACAAATAAAAAGAGAGGGTGCAATATTCATAAGAGACACCAAGATTTTTATGTGTAAAACCCTTAAAAGGCAAAAAAACCAAGGGGCCACGTCAATTTCAATAATTACAAATGAGGCCCTTCCGTGGGGGAAGCCCTTGGCTTGATGTAATAAATTTACATCATATAAAGTACATTACATGATGGGACTTGAAATAATCACTATTAATATATTTGTTTGGTCGGCATAACCATAGTCGGCGGGCGACAGAAGTCAGAAAGACCATAGTTTGGTGACAGTGGTTTGAGGGACCACAGTCGGGCAGACGACAGTGGTCAGAAAAGACTGTTGCTCGCCGCCGGACATTTTTCAGACTTCTACCCGACGCCGGACTTCTGCCCGTCGTCGGACTCTCATCGGACTTCTACCCGACGATGGACTTTTACCAGTCGTCGGACTTCTGACCGTTGCTGGACTTTCGTCAGACTTCTACCCGATGCCAAACTTCCGTCCATCACCGGATTTCTACCAGACGACAGACTTCCGCCTGTCACCAGATTTATGCCCGTCGGTGAACTTTTGTAGAATTTATACCCGACGTCGGACTTCTAACCATAGTCTGATTTTCGTCGGACTTCTACCTGACGCCAAAGTACCTCCACCAGTCACCGAACTTATGTCCGTCCCCTTACTTTTGACGGACTTCTACCCAACATCGGACTTCCGCCCGTCGCCGGATTTCTACTCGACGCTGGAATTCCGCCTATCGTCGGACTTCTACTCGATGACAAACTTCCACTCGTTGTCGAACTTCCGTCAGTCACCGGATTTCTACCCAACATCGGATTTTTGTCCGTTATCGGACTTTCGTCGGATTTCTACCCGACGCCGAACTTCTACCCGACCGCCAACTGATGCCGATTTTTCTGCCCTGCCAGCAATAAACGTCGGACTTTTGCACTGCCTCCAATTGATGTCGGACCTTTTTCTTCCTCCAACAACAGTCTTTTTGATGAGTGTCGTCCGCCGACTACTGTCCTTCCAACCTCCATCACCAGACAACAATCCTTCTGACCTCCGTCGCTCCAACCTCCATCTCCCGCCGACTATGGTCCTTCAGACCTTCAACTACGGCCGACTACAGTCCTTCCAACCTTTGTAGCCCCGACCTCCGTCGCCTGCCGACTACGATCCTTCCGATCTCCTTTTCCAAACAACAGTCCTTCCGATCTCCTTTTCCAAACAACAGTCTTTCCGATCTCCGTCGTCCACCGACTATGGTCCTTCCGACCAAACGAATACGTCAACAGTGATTCTTTATATTCCCACCATGTAATGTACTCCACTTAATATACATCAAGCCAAGGTCTTCTCCCCAAGGAAGGGTCTCATTTGTAATCGACTATAAATAATAGTGGTTTCATTCAAATTGGGCTAGGCCCCATTGTTTTTCCCCTTTTTAGGGTTTTCCACATAAAAATCTTGGTGTCTCTTATTAATACACACCCTCTCCTCTTATCTGATTACGTGCTGGATCTTTGTACGAAGCTAAGGAGTTAAAATTTATATTTCTATATCGCTGCGAATATTCTAGGACGTAACAGTTTGACGCTATCTGTAGGAATGTGATTCCCGACTGGGGGGGGGGGCAACTTTTGCTCCAACCACTAAAGGTTGTTCATGTCAGCGTCCTGGCTTCAGCTATTAATGTATCAATTTCATGGAAATTAAAAGTTGACTGGGGGGGCAACCTTGACTACAACCGTGGTTACGAATATTCCTCCAACTCTTCCAATATCTAAGATGATATATTGGATAATAAAGCTTCTAAAAAATGCAACAATGCTTCCAACAAATTTCAAGCCTTATAAAGTCCATAGTTGGACTTCTACTCCTTGAGTAAGGTCTTAATCTCAGCTTCAAAAAGTCAATAACGATATAAAGATAGACCATTATTCACCTTTAATTCGAGATACACGTGGCATTCGCCCTCTTCCAATCAAGGCAAAATCGATCCCAAAGAGGTTCGATTCGACCTTTTCCACATAGATTAATGTCAGTGCTCTGACATACAACCTCAGAAAGGTCATATATCATTGGTAGATTCTCTAGATCTCTTCCATATAGGTTAAGGTCAGTACTCTAACATACAATCTTCAATAGGTCATACATTCTTGGTGGATTATCTCGATATTTTTTGTATAGGTTAATGTCAGTGCTCTGACATACAACCTCGGATAGATCATACATCCTTTGTGGATTCTTCCAACCTCTTTCATATAGGTTAATGTCATCGAGCAGTGCTCTGACATACAACCTCGGATATGTCATATATTTTTAATGGATTCTCTCGACCTCTTCCATACATGTTAACGTCATTAAACAGCGCTCTAATATACGACCTCGGATAGGTCATACATCTTTTGTGGATTCTCCCGACCTCTTCCACATAGGTTAATCTCATTAAGCAACGCTCTAACATACAACTTCGGATAGGTCATACATCCTTGATGGATTCTCTCAACCTCTTCTATATAAGTTAACATCATCGAGCAGTGCTCTAACATACAATCTTGGACATGTCATACATTCTTGGTGGATTCTCTCGACCTCTTTCATATAAGTTAATGACATCGAGAAATGCTATGACATAAAACTTCGGATAGTTCATACATCTTGGTGGATTCTTTCAACATCTTCCATATAGGTTAATGTTATCGAACAGTGCTTTGACTTACAACCTCGGATAGGTCATACATCCTTGGTGGATTCTCTCGACCTTTTCCATACAGATTAATATAATTGAGCAGCGCTCTAATATACAACCTCGGATAGGTCGTACATCCTTTGAGGATTCTCCTGACCTCTTCCACACAAGTTAACGTCATCAAGATATGTTATGACATACAACCTTGAATAGGTCATACATCATTGGTGAATTCTCTCAACCTTTTCTATATATGTTAACATCATCGAGCAGTGTTCTGACATACAATCTTAGAGAGGTCATACATCATTGGTGGATTCTCTCGACCTCTTTTATATAGGTTAACGACATCGAACAGTGCTCTGACATATAACTTTGGATAGATCATACATCCCTAGAAAATTCTCTCGACTTCTTCTATATAGGTTAAACGTTATCGAACAGTGCTCTGACTTATAACCTCGAATAGGTCATATATCCTTGGTGGATTCTCTTAACCTCTTCCATATAAGTTAATGTCATTGAACAAATACTCTAACATACAACCTCAGATAGGTCATACATCTTTGATGGATTATCTTGACCTCTTCCACACATGTTAATGTCATTGAATAATACTCTGACAAATAATCTTGGATAGGTCATACATCATTGGTAAATTCTTTTGGCCTTTTTCACACAAGTTAACATCATCGATTAATGCTCTTACAAATAATTTCAAAGTTCTTTTGGAAAGGTCATTGAGGGGGAGGAGGAAGGTGTTGCGAATCTGGATTCAGAAATTATAATTTTGATGATAGCAAATAGTTCTGACACTTCTGTTTTTCTACGACTGTCTTTCCTAATAACGTTTCAGGTCCACAAGGCCAATTGCAAATCAAGCCAACTCAAAATTGGATATATTAGGGACTGGGTCTGTCTGTAAACTATCATTAAGTTGTTTTTAACATTTTCTTGAGTCAATTATAAACATACTGGGTCCTGATGCTAAGTAACTTTGCACACACATACTCATGAAAAAATTTTATCTGTTTTTAGAGTTTTTTGTTTTTGATCATATCGTCCAGGACGATCAGTTAAAAATAGAAACCCTAATTAGGGCATCCTAATTAAGGCAGCTGCAATTAAGCAAATCGTCCTAGACGATAGGCTCAAATCAGAAAAAATCAACCGCCAGATCTATTTAGGCATGTTTTATTTTTGGACATGTCCTAAATGATGTTGTGCAATTATGCCTAAATTAGTCTGGTAATTAAAAAAATAAATTAAGATTTGATTGCTCGATCATATCGTCCTGGACGATCGCAGGATCGTCCGGGACGATCAGTTAAACAAGCCTCAATTTTGTCCTGAACGACCAGAACGATGTTCTGGACGATGTGTATTGTTTTGCACTAATCGTCCGGGCCGATCCCAAATCATCCTGGACGATCAGTTATCTTTTTCATCGTCCAAATATGCAATCAGGGCAATATTATGGATGGTATTTGATGTTTTGAACTAATCGTCCTGAACAATTGTGAAATCGTCAAGGGCGATCAGTTTAGTTTTCCATCGTCCAGACATACAATCAGGGCGATGTTCTGGACGATATTTGATATTTTGAACTAATCGGCCGGACGATAGTGAAATCGTATGGGACGATCAGTTTAGTTTTCCATCGTCCAGACATGCAATCAGGGCAATCTTTTGGATGATACTCAACGATTTGTACCGATCGTACATGACGATACTTAGATCGTCCTGGACGATAATGTTGATTTGTTGCAATCAAGAGAAAATTTGGAGCTCTTCTATATGAGACCTCTTGTTTACCCAAGTTTGTATCTTTTGATGTTGTCTTGACCTGAGAGAGTCAAGAGGAGAGGGAGAGCAAGGGAGAGAGAGTGAGGATCTTGTGAGGGGGAGTTTTTGAGGGGTTTCACAAAAGTTGCTCGAAACAAGGATCCGAGTCGTCTTCTCCGGTCGTTGTCCCTGGTTCCTTGGAGGCTCGAGAGAGGTCTACTTCAGCAATTGATCAATGTTCTCTGCCTGCTTCAGGAGGAAGCAAAAGGAGTCGGGTTCTCTGTCTGCTTCAGGAGGAAGCAAAATGAGTTAGGTTCTCTACCCCACTGGTGTCGGTGGAAAGGGGTTTGTACAGGCTTCTCCGCCTTGCTGTGAGAGCAAAATAAGTCACTAAGTTTAGTGCAATACCAGGAAGAGAGGCTCCGGGGAGTGGACGTAGGTCAAG